GAGTGTAATGTGCCGACTGCGACCGCCAATGGCGCTCATTCATCCGGAGACCAAGTGCAAGATATGCCGAGAAGGCGACTGAGTACCGTTCACTAAAAGCGCCCTTTCATATCGGCATGCTTGACGACGTTGGCATTATTCAAGCCGTCGTTGATTGTCAAACAATGGTGTAGTGTTTTCAGACACGCTTGTCAGTTTTGACAGCTGTAATCTAGCTTATTTTGCCTGTCGGTTTAATTGCTGGGATACAATGGAACCGTATGACATGTGTCCAATGCATGTATTGTGGAGAACCATTGTGCAGCTATTTACTCACCGGATCGTGAACGTGTATTTTTGGTTAGTTCACGTTTACCATTACTGCTGCAAAGCTCTTTCACCCTTTATTTGGTTTTATTTATTTAGTTTAGCTCTTATTCTTTGATACTCTCGAGTCTCGGATTACTGGGTGATGTCATGGCGCTGCTTCGCGACCAGCCTAATCTCTTCTCCGCGTCTCAGCACGGCAACTTTACATGTATTTTTCACCGAGCAACAGCTCAGTCTCCCTACTCTGGCTTACGTCTGATCCGCCGCGCTGCGCTGCTTTTTCCTCGCTGTTGCTCTCATCATCTCGTTGCCGTCGTCTTCGTCGTCGTCGTCGGCGGCGGCTTCTCAGCCTGTTTTTCTCCCATTTGCATCCTTCCGTCGCACCGGTCTGTCACTCCTCAACACGCTCCAGACGGAAGGCCCTGCAGTCTGCGTCCACTCCTGTCCACATCCCGGCTGTGACCGGCGCGCGCGTCGTCCGGCGACCCTAAGTAGAGCCGTCGGCGCCGCGCCGCGTCACTGCCAGCTCGCAGAGTGGCCGGATGTTGTAACGCAGCACCGCAGCCGCCCCAGACGGCCAGTATGCAGAGTACCACGCAGCGGTCGATGTTGCGAGCACCGGACCGTGCCTCTGGCCGGTCGGGGGTGTGTGATACACGCCCGCAGCGGCGGCCGGTCGAGCGGAACGGCCGTATCGTGCGTGCTGAGAGCGGGACTCCTTTGATCAACGCGTGTTGTATGATCTGGCGAAAACATGAGCTCCTGGCCGCTCTGGCGATAGAGGGGCATCCGGAATTACCGTGTCTGATGAGTGCTGCAGTAGATACGGCGATAGCAGGGCGCTGGGTTTGTAAATGCCGGAACGTGCGGGTTTCTTCACATCGGAGTGCTTGCGGATTGCGGGGGATGATGTGGCCGTGACGGCGTCCGGGATCGCTGGGCTGTGATTCTGGTATTTAAGCTGATAGTATGCGCTAAGGTGGAAGGTTGGACGCTGAAGCTGTATAAATACGTACCCGGAGTCTTATAATTGTGTGGTTTACCAATTATCATCATGAGCTGTGCCAGCTTTTCTGATTTCTTATTCCCCTGTCCCAGCCACCAGCTCATTCACCAGCCCACTATTGCGATGTCATTTGTCATAATAACAGATACCCGAAACAAATTAGCTGGAATTCGGACTAGACCACTAGCGGACCCCTGCTGGTCCTCTGAGGACCCCCACAGGGGACCGGATATTACCCACATTCACCACGATCTGCCGCGCCTGTCCGCGCTCCGTCATCGGCCGGTCACCTCCGACCCCCAGCCGTTCCCCCGCTGTTACCCCTACCTTTACCCCCTGCGGTGACCGAGCCCAGGTCACTCACCGCCCACCTGACCTTGTGATTCGGCCTGCCGGGATACGGGGCGGGAGTGAGTGTGGTGAAGATGCGCCCTTGTTTTTCGGTATCGCTCGACTGATGCTCTCGGCGGCCGTAAGAGGACGGAAAGCAGCACTGCCGACCGTCAGTCGGCACTTGAGGAAAAAAGGCCGCCGGCGGAACAGCGCCCAGCGCCGTGGATGCGTCATTACCGTGTTTAGACTCGTCCAAATATTAAACGGCCACGTGATAACGGATTTAATGCAGGTCCGACTGACTGCGGAGAGTCGCGTTACCCAGCGACCTCCGTGAATTGTGATGTGCCGTAATTGACATCGTAATCAGATGCGCTGATTATTTGGAAGATTAATGAGAGGGTCAGAGAAATGTCTCTTTCTTGGCTGTTCTAAAATTGTGCTGCTGTTCCACGCCTTATCATACTAATAGGGCCTTACCTACATATGACCTATGGATAATGGAAATTACATAGGCATTTGTTTAGTTAGATGCTTTATTGATTAATTATAGTGCAGTTATTCGTTTTCCCAATTTGCTTGGCATGAATTACATGCTTCTTCCTTGCACTAGATTTTTATCAACATCCAATAGTTCTTCGCGGCAGTAAATTACACTAATCTCTCTGACTAATGCAGAGATACCGGCTGGAATGTTTTGTGGTATACCGGCGCGCCTCAGCAGCGCCCCAGAGTACGACGGCCGGCGCCCGAGACGTGCTCAGTTCGCGTGCGGTCGGCGCGCCTCCTTTACGACCCCCGACTCCCCATCGAGCGCTGATTGAGTTCCCGTTCGGTTTGATAATTAAAATTCCGGATTAAATTTACCCGCCGGGCCATCCATGTCTTCGTACTCTCCTGTAACGACCGACAATTTATTCGCGCGCCGTCCAGCTGGAGCGGCAGCTCCGCGGGCAAAAAGCCCGTCCTCGTCGTCGGCGGCGGAGCGGCGGCCGTTTTTGCGCCGGGGTCGTGTGGTTAGTGGCGGCGGCTCCCCGCGGAGGGCTGTCGGCCACTACGGGCCGCGCGCCGCTCCAATGATATACGCCCACTGTTCCATTGGCTGTCAGCGGACCGGGCGGAATTAGTGGTCGCGACGGGGCGGCGGCGGCCCGTGAAGCGGGCCGGCCGGCCGGTCGGGCTGTGCACACCGTGCACCGGCCGTGAGAGTGGAGGGGAGGGGAGGGGAGCGGCGGCACGGGCCGACGGCGGGAGATGGGACCACTAACAAAAACGCCTGCCGAGCGGCACATACGCTCCCACTAACAAACACAGTAAATCACACGGTGTCGAATGATCCAGTTAGGGAAGATGGTGTTGAAACGGTGTAACGTTCTCCGGTGCATATTTTCAATTAGGTACCGTGTATCGAGTTACCTTGGGATGCTGCAGTCTGTCACCCGTTCTCGCTACTCTCGTGGATAATTAATGTCGGACATTTCTACGAACCGACGGGGGACCGGAGACGACAGCTCCCTGTCCTGGTCTGGCCTGGTCGCTGGGCTCAACACCAGTCTATAGTTTAGAGATCGTGGTAACTCGTGCTGTTTGGATAACTAACATCAAGCCAGCGAGCCTGTCAACCGCATCCCTTTCCTTAGCCATAGCGACTGTATCTATAATGGCAGCGCTAAAAGTATAGTGAATCACGCCGTTATGATGTCTGATATTTTGGTAGCGCCTGTTCAGCGACCTGCAGCCAACAATGCTGCCATCAGCTGCCTGGTGGCTGTGGAGCTGTAAATCGCCCCTGACAGGACAATGTCCTCGGCTTGTCACACCGCGGGCCGACTGTCAATGGTCCATGCCAACAACGAGTCTGCCGACTGAGCTGGGCCGTCGATCTGTTAATGAGGTGCATGCGGCAGCGACCTGGCCTTTTCCATGGCTGAGGCTGGCCACCGACTGGTGTTTAATGTATGCGCTGCAGGCGGTCCTGCTATCTAATACTCCAGCGTGATGGGTGTGTTGATTGATTATTATGATGGTTGGCCTCCAGTCTACGTTTTCAAGATCGGCTTATGCCCTGATATCGTTTCATACTCTCCTCAGAGTCTCACCGGGCATCTGTAGGTATAACCTCTTGGGTCCTTATCGGTTATCTGTCAATGAACTGGTTCAGAAAATCTGTCATGAAAGGCTGCCTTCACCTCAACAGAGCCTCATCTGTGGTTTGATGTTGAACAAATCGTTCGGGTTCACTCTATCTATGTGGCTCTGGGCTCTGGCAACATGGACAGAATTGACCCAGACTCAACCCAGACATGACCGACGTTTGCTGAGCCGCAATTGACACTTCGTTCATTAGGTAAATGCACCCACCGCCCACCTATACCTATAGCGCTGTCTGGTCGGCAGATGTCCCTTTGTCGCACCACAAACCATTGCTGATGAAGCATAACCGCCCGTGTCGCGTCCCATCCCCTGCCTTCCCCGTGTCACTATGTCATCTGACAATCGTCCCCTCCCCGGTGTCACTATGTCAGCTGACAGTCCCCTCCACCGTGTCACCGTGCGGACAGTCCCCTCCCCTGCCGTGTCACAGCCACTGTGCCCTGTGCCGCCCTCCGAACAATTGCTCCCCGCCGACCTGCTGTCCACCCGGTGTCAAACTGAACGGGCGCGGTCACCGGCACCGATCCTTTCATCGAGCCTAATCCTGAGCGCCGACAAACCGCCCCGTGTCGAACAGTCGGCGAGACGGAGCGCGATTCGACTGGTCTTGTGGAACAGGCCGATGGCAAAGGTGACTGTTGGTATTTTAGTGAGTGAGATCATAATCCAAAGCGCGCATGTGTGAAAACAGTGCGTTTTAACGTTTATGCTGTTACTCACTCTGTGCTTTTTTGTATAGAGTGGTGCGGTGGGATGACTGAACCCTCTGTGTCAAACCCCAGCTGTATAGGTGCGTTTCTTGCCTGAACACCTGTGCACTGTCGTGTGCTTTGCCCCTGTGTGACATGCACCGTGCACAGCTGCTATATATCTCGCCCTCCCGCTGCTCTGCCGGTCCGGACCCCAATACAGACCTGTCGCAGAGCCTTCAGAACTGAACAATGCATGGGTGATCGGTGCAGGTGGCTCGAACCCCGCTGTTCGGTCCGTGCAGCCTTCCACACGGCTGTCGCGTGTGTCATTAGTTTCATATCGAGCCGAAATTGATGCTGTGTCCCTTTGTAGATCTGACAGACGTTCAATATTGTACAAAAGATGCGCAATTTTAAAAAAATACACACCATAGTTGTCCACCATACCACCACCATGTACCACGTCCGCCCCCACTCTGACCTCTCTCCCTCCCCTCTGTCTGCAGGGCTGGACCACACGGCCAGCGTTCAGACCGTGCCTCCCTCTCCCCTGCTGGAGGTGGAGGCCGGCACGGACGTCACTCTACACTGCAGCGCCAACGGCTCCAGCGAGCCCTCCTACCAGTGGTTCCGCAACGGCGAGCGGCTGTCGCGGGGGCCGCGCGTGCAGCCGCGCCGGCGGCTCCTGCTGCGAGCTGTGCGGCCCTCGGACGCCGGGACTTACTCCTGTACAGCGGCTAACCCGACGGCCGGCATGGTGGCGCGGAGCAACGGCACCCTGCCGCTGGTCGTCACAGGTGGGTGGTGTGGGTCGGGAGGGTGTGTTTTAGAGGGGGCTGTCGATGAAGCCTAACGTGTTTAACTTCACGAGAACTTTTTCTTTACGTTTAACTTTACTTTGAACTTAACTTGTTTCGTCCGTGAGTCTTGCCAATATTTAGTAGGTAGGTACGTTCCATACCGTCGATCAATGCCAAAGTTTACCTCCATCACTGTTTTGATTCCCTTCTCGCCTTTGCATTTGTTAACTACAGGGATGTTCACGAAAAACTGACACATTTTAAAACGACTTTGTGAGCATGTGAGAGCTCACAGAGACTTGACTTGCATGCCATTCGAAAGCCTGTTGAAAAAAGTTTTGTATCTGCATAGCTCCTTTAGTTAGCATCACATGAGCTTCCAAATAAATAAGAAAGCGTTAAAATGGGAAATTTGACTTGGCGACAAAACTTAACGGAAAAACAATGAAGCTCTCGCGGCTGCCATCTGCCACCACGACTGAACCAGTCTACGAATTCGTCTAAAATTTGACATATTAATGTTTCGATGGATTATGTTTTATACTATTGGCATATTGTGGGCAAATTCCTAAGGAATGCCAAAATTGGCAGGCTTGGAAGTGCTGATGTCAGAAACCATGGCCGCATGCTGGCAGTCACTGTAGAGTGGTACCGTGCCATCTTTTAACAGCTTCTGTTAGCTACTGTAGCGGAAATGGGTCGACGTCTACACCATTTGGTGGTTCTGGCACGTCAGGGCCACCCTACGTACAGTAACGGCGATCATCGGTCTCACACGAGAACAGGGGGGAGGGGGCACTTGTCTCGCGCATCACCTCTCACCCATAGCCGGCCATTTCGCTCTACCTCAACTCCGTGGACTATTCCTGTGGGGTCACGTGAGTGACATGATCTGTAGCAGCGGCCCAAAGGACATCAAACCTCCCGACGAGTGCAGTGAGAGGTGTTGCAATTCTCCAGGCACGTGCCCAAAAACGGGGAATAATTTCCTGTTTCGGGCCGAGTCGTGCACTGCTCCAAAAACTCGTCATCTGCAAAATACGCTGTAACTTCTTAGAAACGAAAATGACATGATCCCAAAATATGTCAATACAAACTTAGAAGTCCACTCTATTTGCCCATAGCGTGATCACCGTTCTGAGGGCAAGTGTTTTCTCGTAATTCGGAAATAAAATGTGTCAGTTTTTCGTGAACATCCCTGTATCTGTATCTGTATCTGTACCGCTGCTCACCTCTAACTCCTGTCCTCCCGCAGGCTCTGGGGCACCGCGCCTGCTGCTGGCGCCCTCCGACCAGCTGGTGCGGGCCGGTGGCAGCGCCCGGTTCGACTGTCGGTACAGCGGCGCCGACACGGTCCACTGGGAGGTGGGCCACCAAGGACCGGTCGGAGACGACAGGTGAGATGTTGGGAGCTATATAGGAGCCCCCGTCCTCCGTTCCGTCGTTTCCATCCTCAGGATACTGAAATCCTTCTCCTCCACGCCGCAACCCCCACTCCGGGCTGGATAGGCTCCTTTATCTCGTGCGGGCTCCTCCCGAGGGGGCGCACCCCGTAGCCGGGTGCAGAGAGTGCTTGGGGGGGCTGGTCGGCCTGTTCATTCGGACGGGCTCAGGGTGTCTGCCCAGACCAATGTCTCCCCATAATTCCTATCATCCTTCCGGCTCTGGAATGGTCTTGTCAGACCGAAGGGGCCTAGCCCAACAAAATTAAAAAAAAAAATAATTTGAGCTCCCGTGGCTCCGTCACCGAGCTCTCCTGGTGGCGTGCCTCATTCACGTGAGCTGGTCCTCCTCAGTCCTCAGTGGAATTGGACTCAGTTTTGTCCTTTCTCGACCAAACTCTATGTAAGTGACTGGGCAGAAAGGTCGGATAGGGAATGTCAGGAATGTGGTGCTTGAGTCTAGCGCCTACCACATTGACATAAAACAGAGAGTGTTCTCAAATGATGCACGCTAAACTCACCATGGACGTCATGCAGATGCCACCGTCTGATGACATATTGAACTCCCAACATCTAGCCCGACATAAATATTGTCACCTCGTATCCCGCGAGTCTGCCCGCCCTCCTCCCTGGAGGCCCCACAGCTGTTTGTTGCAGCAGTGCACCACCCCGTTATCACCGAGACCATGTTGTATTGGCGGCTCTGCACGGCTCACCACGCCGCAGACGTCTGCCGGTCGCTCCAGGAATGTCATTGGGGAACGGGTGGAACGTCGCTGCTTGGTCTTAACCATGCCGTAGTGTCGTTGCTGTAGCCGTGTAGAAACATTGCCTCGGACGTTACCGTGCGCAGATATCGGTCTCGTGCATGGGGCGGAGCGAACCGGTGCAGGGCGGCGAGGGACAGGCAAACACGGCTGGCGACAACCCATGGGAGTTGTGGCGGTCACCGCCCACCGCATGACAGAGGGAGGGGGTTGTGAGTGACGATAAAGGAGTGATGAACGGCTCCCTTGAGGCACGGGCTGCATGATGACTCGCTGGCCATCGACCGTGAATACTGATGAAACTTAGAGACTGCAACGCCAGAACGTGTTCAGCTTTGCTGTCAGTTTTGGTGGCCGATTCTTCATCTACGGATATTTGCTATTTTTTGTTTGTGATTTGCCGGGTCCAGTAAACTGCTAAATGACATTTTCTGGTGGCCTACTCTGTCTGTTTAGACTTTTCTAGTGACCTGTTCTGGCACCTCATCCCTCCCCGGCGGCCCGTGCGAACACTCGGTCCTGTTCACTGAGCCCCTGGCCGCGGCGCCCGATGGCCCGCTGCTGCGTCGGTCGGCGGGTCCGGGCCGCTCCGAGCCGTCTGGAGCGGACTATGCGGAAGGTCCCGGCCCAGCGGACGGAGGGATATGAGCTGTGGCCGCGGCGAGCTTTCCTGGAACAGTTGCGCCGTCCGCCAAAGCCACCGCTCCTCTAGAGTCGTCGGCGGAGGGCCGAGCGCAGGGAACGCAGGTTTAGTGGAGGATGTTCAGTTCTGTAATGGGGGCGCTGGACGGTTCTGACCTGAATATTCCAATGACCGTGATTCGGAAATAGAGAGCCGAGGACTCGAGGAGTACAGAGAAGAGACCATACCATTGGACATGTGCCTTTTATATGACCGCACCTACTCATTTGTAGTTAATTCCGTTCCATTTAGACGAATGAAACGTCTCGTTGCCTAAATACAAAGGTATCGAATGTTTTTTGTCGGTTCTGGTTATTTCCGTTCCTGCCATATAATCGTCAAGCTGGATGTATTTTTGGTACAGCGGCGAACAACTACGGCCACACTTTTCTCATTTCTTTGAGTGCACTATCATGCTTGTCGTTTTTCGAATATTTGGCGGCACATTAAAACCGCGTCCACAAAGGCGGAAGATGAACCTCCCTTTGAACGTCAGACAGAATTATGATTTATTGCCAGTGAATGTCAGACTCGCCATAGAACATTGACAGTCGGTAGGTATTACTGTCAACTCTCATGAATTTCAAATATTGGAAAATATTCTGGCGAGCATTGTTCCAGTTTGTCTGGCGAATTGTTTCGTGGAAATGGATTTACTACAGCTCGGGCTTGACTCGGATGTTGACACACTCGTTAGCTGGTTCGACTTTTGCAGCTACTGCTTCGATAAGCGTCCAAGGTTTGACTCTCATTGTTGGATATCTCTGCAATGATGGGTTGCACAACCAACGCACGATTAATCTGACAGATGAAATCCAAACAATCAGACCCGAAAGCGTTTGAACGTCAAACTCGGCACATACAGCTGCATACACGGAACCAAATCCGACGTATGGAACAGAAACCAGAATACATTGTCAATTCTCGTTTGATCATCTGTTCCGTGGGTCTAATAATAAGCATCTGCGGACGAATGGGAGCAGAGTTAGGCTATCCTTTTAAAGTTATGGAATTGGACCGTTTGTGCCGAGCACTTGCAGTCCTGCAGGATGTCAGTAGTCAGCAGCTTTTGGTCCCAGCCTGTGCTTCTCTCTCCACTCTTGGTAGTGTGATGTCGGTGCGTTTTTCGTCGGTCGTGCGCTGTCCTGCAGCGGCCCTGTGCCCTCCCCTCCCGCCCCCCCCCCCCTCCCGCCCGCCGTGCCGCTCGCGACACGCTCCGCTGATCGTCCGTCAAACAGTCCTGCATCACCCCCCCCCCTCCATCCGCACAAAATGGCGACCGCTGCGGTCACTGTCCACTGTGGAGAGGTCCGGTGACGCAGTCTGCGCGTTTATGCGCCGAAAGTAGCCAAAGTGCGTGGTCAGTTGAGTACGCACGGCGTAGAAATATATCAAACTTCCATTAGCTGCGTGGGAGGAGGCAGTCGAAAAGGGGAGCTGCGTGGCGTATGGTGCATTATGTCTGCTCGCTGTATGATGAATGTAGTGGGTAATTCATGTGAGGCTGATAGCGTCTTGAATATATAAATACGTGAACTAAAAGAAGGCCGAAATCAAACGACTACGCATCGCATTCACCCTAAATTTGATCAAGCTCTAATCAGAATGTGTAATAAATTCCAATTCATATATTGCTAGCATAGTCGTGCATACTTAGTAGCATTGTGTATTACAAAATGGCTTTACCCGACCTGACCTAACCCCATCTGCCCTGACCTGACCTTTTATCCCGCAGGCGGTACTCTGTGCTGGCCAACAACAGCCTGGTGGTACTGTCGACGGCACCGGAGGACGAGCAGTGGTACCACTGCGTGGCCGGCGGTACCTCCGACTCTGTACCGGTACAGCGGTACAGCGCCCGGCTCCAGCTGGCCTGTGAGTACCCGCCCGACGCGGTACGGGGTGCAGGGGGTAGCCTTAGTAAGAGATGCGGTATACTGAGGCGTGAGGAGATGCTTGCTGTATGCCTGTATGGCCCCTTGATATAGATTAGCACTTTGGTCGTGTCCTAATTGGTAGTGTTCACGATATGTGCGTGTTTTCTCTTTATCATCATAGGTGATTGTCGTTTCGGTTAATAACAACAAATATTGGATATCTTGATATCGTTTTGAACGCAGTGCATTGCAATGAATAACGTGCTATGCCGCTATGGTAGGTAAACACTAGACAGTAAACACGAACCGAGAGTTTGTTGTTGGAACTCGGTGTAAAAACGGAGTCGCGTGGCTCCGTGTTGTGCATCCCGGGAACCCTCCGGTATCCAGACGTGCGCCAGTTGTAACACGGTGCCCCCTTCTCACCTGTGGCCTACCAGTCACGTATGGACGGTCACGTGGCTGAGGGGGGGGGGGGGCACGGCTGTAGGGTGGACGTGGAGATATGCCGATGGGGGAGGGGGGTTTCGGAACTGCGGGCGGGTCGTTCGGCTCGTGCTGGAACGCGGTGCGGTTGGTATGCTGTTGCCCCTTGCAGTGCTACTGTGTTTCTATAGGAGCTGTGGTTGGTCGCAGGCACGATCTACATGCACCGCGATTTTCGGGTGTGTGTTTCATGTAGAACTCGTTAGGCGCCACTAGCAGTCTGGCATAGTCATGTGCTTGATTTTTGAATGAGGTACTCCGAGAGGATTGTATGTATGCATCGGCCGCTGAAGGCTTTCATTCACTGCTTCAAATTCACTTCTTCCGATTTATTGTTCAGCACTCTTCAAGCTCACAATATAAAATTCCCAGCTGATTATGCTAATATCATGAAGTGCAGCTGCCGTTTGCCGTCATTCCTCCCAAACTAGAAATCTGAATAGTGAATGCCTTCCTCTACCGGTTGGCGACCGCGGTATGTCGGTGGCCCCGGCGACAATCCCGGGTACAAACGTCACATGATATACGGAATCCCCAGAATACAAATGTCACGTGGTACGGACGCTGAATGGAGCCCAGGGTACCGGTGTAGCGGACCGAAACCATTCACCTATTGTGGGACCCCTCCAGCCGTGAGCCGGGCGCGGTGACATGGTTTTCACAGAAAACCAGGGTTTGGGGCGAGCTGTGATCTATGCTGAAGGGTTCCAATTGTTGAGCTTCTGGAATGGTACGGATATCGGTGTGCGGTTACCAGTTGGGTACACTCGGGGGCAGATTGATGTTCCACAACTCGTTATCCACCGGGTTCCTATGGCTCAGCATTGGCAGCAGCCGCCTGGTACCGGTAGACTGTGCCGCTTCACTTACTTGTCAAGCGGCACAGCCTACCCACACCGTATGCCACCGGTCTGGGTCGGTGGCTGGAAGGCGATGTGGGCCGCCTGTGACGTCAGCGCAGCGGTGAGGGCCGAGCCCGGAGGCATGGCTCGGGTCGGCGCGGCGCTGCGGCTGGCGAGGGCTGGGGAGTGAGGTGGGGTGGGAGCACGGACCATCGCGCGGCTGAGCGAGTGTAGTTAACTTTCGCGTCTCAAGGCGCCAATTATTCTACCTAACAATTGTGCTAAAGCAGTTGTTAAAATGTCCTACCCCCAAGACAGCGCCTATCATCATACCTGCCATGCACATTACGACACACTTAAACGTGGCATTGGGACAGCCGATAGAATTTATATCAAACGTGCATCAAGTTGCGGAGCTACATTGTTTTTAACAGATAAGTATTAAGGCCTTGATTGAGCTCATTGGTGTCTATTATTTCGCACAGCAATCGTCCAGAGACGTGGGAACTGGGGTTTTTGGATAGCGCGGCGTCCCAACTTTAAGCAACTCTTACTGTTCCTCTAATGTGTGGTCGCAGCCACCAATAGCAAACCGTTCCATCTAGGAACAAATAAGTCGCGCACCTGGGACGGTTCGAACCGGGTTTCTCCAACCGGTCACCCCACGACGCTAGCGTGTATCCACTGAGCTGCCGAAACCAGCGACCACCCGCCGCGGTCAAACGCGATCAAATGTCACAATACTGTCATTGGCGGTCAGCGGGTGAATGTCATTTTGTTTTGTGCGGATGAGGACCATTCTCGGTAGCTCAGTGGATGAACGCTCGTGTCGTGAATTGGCCGGTGGGAGAAGCCCGGTTCGAACCCCCCTGAGTGGCCGACTTTTTGGCTCCTAGTTGGAACGGTTTGCTATTGGAGGCTGCGACCACATATTAGAACAACAGTAATAATCGCTTTAAATTGGAGCGTTAGCTGCGGCACTACTCATAGCCCCCAGTTCCCACGTCTCTGGACGATTGCCGTGCGAAACAATAGACACCAATCTGCTCAATCAAGACCTTAATACTAATATGTTATACAAAATATAGCTCCGCACCTCGATGCACGAGTGACATAAGTTCTATCGGCTGTCCCATTGCCACGCTTAAGGGTGTCGTAATGTGCATTGCAAGTATGATGATAGGCGCTGTCTTGGGGATAGGACATTTTAACAACTGCTTTAGCACAATTGTTAGGTAGAATAATTGGCGCCTTGAGACGCGAAAGTTAACTACACTCGCTCAGCCGCGCGATGTCCGTGCCCCCATCCCACCTCACTCTCCAGCCCTCGCCAGCCGCCGCGCCGCGCCGACCCGAGCCATGCCTCCGGGCTCGGCCCTCACCGCTGCGCTGACGTCACAGGCGGCCCACATCACCTTCCAGCCACCGACCCAGACCGGTGTCATACGGGTGGGTAGGCTGTGCCGCTTGACAAGTAAGCGAAGCGGCACAGTCTACCGGTACCAGGCGGCTGCTGCCAATGCTGAGCCATAGGAACCCGGTGGATAAAGAGTTGTGGAACATCAATCTGCCCCCGAGTGTACCAATTTGTGTGGACGGTATCAATGCGGGTGTCTGTGTGTTTGATGGAGGGGCAAGGGGGACCTCACAGTGACGACATTGTCCGCGGGTGTCTCATGTGACTGGCCTTTTGTACAGTGTAACGTATATTTACCATGAATGGCTGATAATTGTCTACACACTCTACACTCCTGCCTCATTTGCATTCCCTACGTTTGACTCTTCACTATTCACAGCAATATTGGGCTGCGTACCTGCTGCCCATTGTGCAATGACCGTCATCAATCAGTGACCAAAGCCAAGCTACTGGATACCGATCTTTTACCCCAGACCAGTTTGTTGTACAGTGCAACTGCACACGCTGTTGTAGACTACCGACCACTGTCTTTAAAGGGACCCTCCCACCTTAACATTAGTTTTGAGTTGAGATAGCCAAGTTTGCGGCCAGGCTCAGAAACCACTAATTATCCTGGTCGCAACCCCCGCAGCTTTATAGTGTTCAAGAAATTTCTTCCCTTTACTTGCAGGGTGGGACCAGCGTGGTCCCTGTCTCTTAACCATTACGGGAATCTGATGACGTCATCAGGCTTTCGAACGTCCGTCATTAAGTTTGACTAAAACGTTTTGTAGCACGCGGTGGTATATGCTATTTGCGCGCAACATCTGCCGCAAACGCCGCGCTTCTAAAATAAAGTCGCTAGAAACAGCGGAGATCCCAAAAAAGTAAACAAAAGTAAAAGTCTAATTTCTTGAAAACCGGTGAATATTTTTGGGTGAAATTTGGTAGATATTCGTTTTCGCTCTTTCTGAACCGAGCGACATCACTTTCATGCCAATTCATAAACTTTTTTGAAGGTGGGAGGGTCCCTTTAATTGCTAAGGTACTGTTCCCATGTGCCATTCTTCAACTGTCTGTTGAGGCAACTCTTGCTCCCCAACCACTCCTCTGCCCTGCTGACCCCCTCTCGCTCCTCACAGACCTGAAGCCGCCTACTGCCGAGTCGGTGGAGCCGGCCCCCTACACCCCCTTTCCTCCCCTGCTGACTCTCTCTCCCTCCTCACAGACCTGAAGCCGCTGACGGCCGAGTCGGTGGAGCCGGCCTCCGTTCCCTTTTCTCCCCTGCTGACCCCCTCTCGCTCCTCACAGACCTGAAGCCTCTGACGGCCGAGTCGGTGGAGCCGGCGCCCTCCGTCCAGGGGGTGCACGTGGTGGCCGAGGGCCGGCCGGCCCAGCTCACCTGTCTGGCTCCGGCCGGACTGCCGCCGCCGACTCTCCGCTGGCTGGACCCGGCTGGAGCGGATGTCACAGATCGGACTCAGGTGAGTAGGAGTGTCCGCCGCCGGCGCTCCGCTGGCTGGACCCGGCCGGAGCGGAGGTCACAGATCGGACTCAGGTGAGGAGGGGGAGGGAGGGGGGGGTCTGTGATGATGTTTGGGTCAGTCATAATGTGATGGCTGATTGAATGTGTGATGTCGTGTGATGTGAGTTTGAATAGCGGCTGCTGGGCGGTGGAGTTTGTGTCAGGGCCCGCCACCCGTCATCCTCTCAGATGCTCCTTCTACCCACCGCCTTGCTTCGACCGTCGCTTGGTTAAAGGAAACTCTTAGGTTGCCAGCTACACGTGAATGTCGATGTATTTCTGATTTCGTCCAACTTATTCGATACTGGCAACCTACAACTTGGTAGGATGATGGTCGCTGTTCCTGTACTGATAAACACCGGGCACAAGTGCCTCTGATCTCTTCTCTGTAACAGAACAGAATCGAAATCTGGGAACTCGTGCTCTGGGCGGTTTACGGCTGCCATAATTTTCCATTGTTCGCTCGCTGGCCAAACGGTCGCGGTCGCGCGGCGATTTCTGGGAACGGGACGCGCTTCTGGACGGGACTCGAGTGGGCGGTGGAGGGCGGCGCTGATGGGTCACGATGGGCGGCAGGCTCTGATCTTGTCCCTCTGTTTACCATGAGCAGTCTGACAAGTCCCATTGTCTGAGGTCGTGCTGTGATCTGTCGAATGTCACTTCATAACAAGCTATGGAATGATAGTAAATTTGGCTGTGCTTACTGTCCCGAGTCGATCAAACCAGTCACCGGCTTGGGACCCCCGGTATCAGATTCTGCTTCCAACCCCCTAAACCTTGATCCCTCCACAATACATCCGTATCCTGTATTTGCCTCATTGGTTCATCTACATACATTTAATCGTATTTTCAGCTCGTTATTTATGGATTCAGAGAATTATGCAATCGTTAAGTCCAGGATCATGTATGCTTTATCTACGTATATCAATAAACCCGTTAACCGCCAACTACCCTTCTCAGGACAAGATGATTGATATATTCATGGGCGAGCCTGTCTCTGGAAAGCTATGAAATTAGGATGCACTCATTTGTTTGCATAAACTCCGTTCGCCTTCTGACGGACTGATATCGCATTTATCTGCTGTTTTCATCGGTAGTATCGAATGTTTTGTGTATTCGCTTTAACAATGTTTGATTTCCGTAAACGTATATCACCCCTGCATCCACTATGTAAAGGAGCTGTTTATTCGAATCAGCTATTGCTTTCGGACAACACGCTAAGACGTAACCTGACCCATTTTCATCATCAACAAGTGCAATGACGGAATGTGTATGCACATCGGCGTCACTGTCTGTACGCCACTTTTGTCTCCGTGAAGTAACACGCGCCACTTTTGCTCCGTTCCAGTCCCAGCTGGAGGGCGCCGCGCTTCTCTCGCTGGATTCCTCCCAGGTCAACGTGGAGGGTAACTACAGCTGCGTGGCCGAGAACCTGGCCGGCAACTCCAGCCTCCTGGTGCAGATCCTGGTGGCCAGTGAGTGTCGGGCGGGGGCGGGGCGGGAGCGGAGGCGGAGGCCCTGGATGTCGGCCCGTGTGTCTAGCAGGGAGGGAGGGGCCATGGTCAGGCTGGTGGACATGTAATTAGAATGTGACTGTGTTTTCTCGGAGGCTTTTTGGTGACTGATACGAGATGCGGCTGTGTAAATATTTGTGCCGTGGCTGTGGTTCTTGTACAGATTATGTATGTAACCCGCTGTAATCCATTAGTTGTAAATGGATCTGCTGAGAGGCATTCTTCCAGTATTGTGCAGATATTTTGCTGAGTCGTTGGGTGCATGGCTAATGCCATTGATAATCACATATGGTAAGCTTGGGCTTGGTCAGTTTATCATGCTCAGGCGTAGGTATATGTGATTGGAATGGAGCCGGAAAGGATAAAGCACGCGACATATCGAAGACATTGAAGCAATATCGAAGATACTTAAACTAAATATACTGAAGATACAGATCCCTCCCTTCCTCACTCCCTCTCTCCCACCTTGTTCGGGAATTGCATCCACATTGGATGTCCTTCGCATTCTCTGTCCTTCCTCCCCTCCCCGTTACCCCGCCCCAGTCCACACCAGCCCATCTCTGTCGGCGTGGGCGGTCGTCGCCGGTCACTTACTAATGAGCTGCGCTGTGATCATGATAAATAACCAGCGGCTGGCTGCTATATCTCGGGAGTCGGACCACCCCGGCGAGACGGCTGCCAGCCGGCGCGGCGCTCCGCCAGACGACTGACTGACTGCCGGGGACGATCAGTGGCAGATGATGGATGGTAGATGGACGATGGACACCTGTTCATTGGTTTGGTAGTGTTGTGGATGAGATGGGAGTGCGTATAGAATCGGTGCGGTGATGTGTTTGAAATGATGTCGTGCCGTATCTTGTATCGTTTTGTGCGTGTGCGTTTTTAATCATTGAAGAAGCACCTTGATATTGTTGCGCATTATTTTTTTTGTGTTTTGTACCGTACTGCGTAGTTCCCACTGCACTGTATCTCTCCCAGCCCCCTCCCCCTCCCTCTCACGGTGCCCGTCTTTCCCAGCGCCGCCGGAGCTGCTGTCTGGCCCCGTGAACTTGGTAATGTAACTCTCAGCCCTTCTGACACGGCACTCGTCCGTCTTTTGCAGCGCCGCCGGAGCTGCTCTCGGGCCCCGTGGACCTGGTAGTGGACGAGGGTGAGCGGACCGAGCTGACCTGTCAGTTCCGCGGCCTACAGCACCCCTACACCACCGTCTCCTGGCTCAGGGACGGGCGGCCAGTGCAGCCTGGGCAGGTTAGTAAAGAGCCCGGGCGGGTCAGTAGACAGACAGCTGGGTCAGGTCAGTAGAGGGTCACCGTCTCCTGAGTCCTGGCTCAGAGACGGCCGTCCCGTCCAGCTTGGGCAGGTCAGTAGAAAGGGTCACCGGTCATCCCGGAGAGATCAGTAGAAAGTCAGCCGGGTCAGGTCAGTAGAGGGTCACCGTCTCCGGAGTCCTGGCTCAGAGACGGCCGTCCCGTCCAGCTTGGGCAGGTCAGTAGAGGTGCACTGATGCTGGTTAATGATTATTTCTGGTATCCACTGATATTATATCACGGTATATCAATGGTCAGTGGTCACTATATAGCGCGTATGATCCATGTGTTTTCCCGTCGGAATCGGGTCGCAGACGCCTCCGGTTGCCGTTGGCTACTGTGGCTGGTCACTATCAAAGTCTCTGTCGTGCTCGCCTGTCCCCTGCACCGTCGAGCTGCCTTTGGAGCCCGCCCTCCGCCGGCCGGCCGAGCTAGCTGTCCAGACAGGGCACCTGTGTCGCTTTGTCAGGCTTTGTTTGAAAACACGCCGCCGCCCGGGTGTCGTTTTTTCGTATTGTGCGGCTGGTTCGGCGGCGGCCGATCGGTTTGCGGTAGTGGGCGGTGAAACACAATGGCAGAGGGTGACGTAATGGTGCCGAGTTTTGGAGGGTATGGAAGAATTGACGGCTGCACAGTTACAGGTCTGGGGTCTCACTCTCTTGCTTACTCACTCTCTTACTCATTCACTCATTCACTCACTCACTCACTCACTCACTCACTCACTCACTTTTTTCTTCTCTATTCTCGTCCTCCCTGATAAGCCCAATGCCTGCGCAGTAGGACAATATGGGATCGACGCTTCGTCAACCGGCTCTCCAACACAGACTAACACAGTGAGCGGATGAATGTCGGACCAATGTCCTTCCACACTGTGGCTTGTCCACCACTGCCTGCAAGATTGGGATCTCGGGTGTTCGCAGGGCTCTCGGAAAGCCGCGTGGTTAGTTGGAGAAATTCCTGTTGGTTTTTGTATCCCGTGAGTTGTGGTTGGTGGTGACTGACTCGGTGCTTTTTTGTTTTACTGTATGCCTGGCCTATTCAAATACATTAGCCAGAGGGGTGTGGTAATAACTGGTGTAAGCAAATTGACCACGGTCAAAAATGCATTACCAGAATACACTACAGCCAACATTTTGGGATGGTCTCGTTCCTAAGTCGGCTAAGAGCTTCGGTCCAGAAAATAAATTTATCGTTGGCATACAGTAAAATACATACCAAACTCGGCCGGTGATAAATTTTCAAGACCTCAGTCCTTACTGATTTTTGAACTCGGCCTTCGGCCTCGTTCAAAAATCCAGTAAGGACCTCGGTCTTGAAAATTTATTTACACCGGCCTCGTTCAATTTTCAAGACCTCAGTCCTTACTGATTTTTGAACTCGGCCTTCGGCCTCGTTCAAAAATCCAGTAAGGACCTCGGTCTTGAAAATTTATTTACACCGGCCTCGTTCAGTATTATATATTCTGACATCCCAGTGGTATGTTTGCGGCTTTAACACCGTTAAACATTGTCAATACGTGTTGCGAATGACAATGACATAAGCATAGAGGGTATGGAGTCGATTATATAATCCGAAATTCTAGTTATCCCTACTCAATACATCTAAATGATACTTTTTTGCTACTTCTATCTATCCATAGTCGAAATCGGGACCGAGTCAGTGTGGGGCACCCTAGTATTTTCACTGTATGTCGTTATTTCTGTATGCATGCTGCATGATGTTAATTTAGTGACGCTGTGTCTCCGTTCCCAGGTGTTCTCTGGTAACGGCAGCCTGGTGATCCCTCTGACGAAGCTCTCTCACGCCGGGAGGTACCAGTGTGTAGTGAACAGCACCGGGTTCCCCGACCCGTACCGCTCGTCCGCCGCACGGCTCACCGTCAAAGGTGGGGGATGGTGGCGCCCTCAGAGAGAGCAGCGCCCTCAGGGGGCGGTGAGAGGTAGCGCACTGGGCAGGCACCCTTAGGGGTCCGTACGTACGAGGTAACGCCCTCAGAGGGGTCGGTGGGAGCAGCGTCCTAAGGGAGTGTCGGGTGGCGTAGGGAAGAGACTGACTTAGCCTTTATTTACCCGAAGACATGTCGACCTGCGGTGTATATTTTTTATATTTTCTCTTAGGATTGTTTGTGTTTATGGATGAGCGATAAATGTGCATTGAGGGACACCTATCGTCTGCTGGTCAGTGAATACCCTATGTCTGACCGCCACCTCTGGGTGTCGCAGAGAAGCTCAAGTTCGCGCCGCGACCGGTGAACCGGGGCCTGGAGCTGGGGAAGACGGGCCGGCTGTACTGCCGCGCCTCGGGCAGCACGCCGCCGACTGTACGCTGGGTGAAGCTGCGCGCCGACGGACAGCTGGTGCTCGACTGGCCGCCGCACGTGACCGACGAGAACGGCACGCTGGTGTTCCGACCGGTACAGGAGGCCGACGGCGGCCGCTACAGCTGCGTGGCCACCAACCCGCAGGGATTCATCAACGCCACCATCAACGTCACCATCATCGGTGAGAGACGGAGATATCATCGGTGGGAAAATGCGTAGGTATAGGAATAGGTCTTCGGCTTTGGGCTTAGGCTGACGTGACTATTCACGAAGGAACTCAACTTCTTCCTCGATTCCCTATTGATTGATAGCTGTTCGAGTTTTGTTTTATGAAGAAAATGTATTGCATTTAACTGACCAACGAATATAGAAAACTCAGAATGATAAATCCTGCAATATTGACTTTTTGTTCAACTTACTGTCACGAATATTTTCCAAAAGAATGTAGCCCTGGCGTTTTCCCATCTGACCCCCTCTGCCCGCCCGCAGTGACGCCCAAGTTTCTGGTGACGCCGAGTAACCCGACCGAGGCGGTAGTGGGTCAGCCCCTGCTGCTCGACTGCCAGGCGTACGGCCGGCCGGAGCCCAGCGTGCAGTGGGACAGAAACTCGCGGCTCAACGACTTTGACGACTCCAGGTCAGTGGGGCGGGTGGGACGGACGGCGCGGCTCCGGTTTGAGTCTAGGCGGCAGCTGGTAGAAATGGCTATTAGACGTTTTTATATATGGTAAATGTGGCACGACTCTACCGAAACTAGTTAGCTGTACCAAATCTTTTTCGATTACAGTTTCCTTATTCACTTTTCTATCTCGTGGTTTACTATCTGACATTACCATCTGACCACCGCACTAACCCCTCTCAGCTCCCAACTGAATATCGCTACTCTTGCCGACTTAAGACTGACCAACTCCGCGCAACCCCAACTCTTCCCGACTATACTGACCTCCCGTACCCTCCTGGCGGCAGGTTCACCCGGCTGGAGAACGGCAGTCTGTACATCAGCGAGCTGCTGATGTCGGACACGGGACACTACGGCTGCATCGCCGGCAACAGCGCCGGCTTCTCCAGGAACGAGATCCAGCTGCTCGTCCGATGTGAGTGGCGCGGGGGACGGCTTTCCGCTAGTGGGAGAGGAGGGTGCTGATGTCGTTTGATAGTCTACAGAAGAGCGGTGTAGGGTGAACGATGAAATTGAACATGCCTAGACTCTGGGTACTATGCATGTGCATTAGTTTTCCACGAATGATGAGTGGACCATGATGGTTGACATAGTCATGTTCTGCGGCAGAACCGGTTCCTCATGGTTGAGCTGATCGTGCCTTTTAGTACTTCTGTCATTTTGGATCGCTGGTCTTTTGGACTTGATGTTGCTCTTTTTTGTCATATGTGGCAAGTGTTCTAGCATCTCTCCTCTCTACCAACGCCTCATTTCCCTCCCAGCCACGGTGCACTACTGTAGACTTTGATCCTGACCCTCCCTCACCTTCCTGCAGCGACGGTGGCGGAGCTGCGCGGCGGCGCGGTGACGCCCGGCGTGGCGGCCGATGACGGTGCCATGATGACGCGCACGGTGGCCATCACCGTGTCGGTGGCGGCCGCCTACCTGCTCCTGGTGGCCGGCCTGATGGTCTGGTGCCGATACCGCCGGCTGCGCCGCAAACAGCAGTACCTGCGCACATCGGCAGAGGGCACCAGCGTGCTGCGTGAGTTAGAACGGGTGGAGCTGGTCGAGGTTAGGAGATGTGTGCCGTTCTTCGTGCACATAGCTTCAGTTGTATAACTTTGACATGCCTATTGCATCTGTCAGCCAGGGTTTTCAGAAGCGAATTTCAGGAGGCAGTGGACTAGTTCATGGTTTCAAATCACCCCTGATTTTGTCAGGAACATTTATCACTGTAATTTGTGTGTGTTCACTTTACAGTCATACGAACGGGTTGGAATTTGCGCTCTCCCCTGATCTATGACCAGCGAGTCTGACCTCCCCTCTCCCCATCCGTCCCCAGTGGCCAGCAGTGACCAGCGATACTGACACTCCCCCCCCCGTCCGTCCCCAGTGGCCAAACCGGATCGGACCGAGGTGCTTCCCCCGGGCAGCAGCAGCGGCGGCCCAGTGGCGCGCTACGTGGGCTGTCCCCGCTCGGACGAGTCCTGTGCGCCGGGCACCAGCAGCCCCTCCCGACTGAGTCCGTCTGTGCTCGGCTCGGCTCGCCTCAGCCCGGCGCGCTACAACAGCTACCAAAGTATCCGCTCGGACAGCAGCTCTCAGCCGAGCTCACACCCGAGCTCTCAGCAGAGCCGCCAGTCGGCCACCAGCGCCGGCACAGCCGGGACGTGCGACAGGAGGGACCTGCGGCCCGTCATGGCGCTCGGTGGGTAGACGGCGGACGACCGAGGGGGGAACTCGAGTGGTGATGTGTAGGTGTCAACAGCTGCAGGATCACCAGAGCAGTTAGTTGGCTGTGCTTTTTAGAGGTAATGTTTGTTGTTCAGCAAACACGACGTTTGTTGTGCGATATTATGCGATATGTGCCGGTCCCGTAGCTCAGTTAGTAGAGCGTTGGATTGCGCGTGGTGAGAGCACGTGTTCCCGGTTACAACAGTCCGGGTTCGAAGCGTTACCCTCCCTCCCCGTCTCTGACGCCCCCTCCCCTCCCCAGGTAAGGGTGAGTTCGGTGACGTGTACCTGGCCGGCGGCCGGTGCGGCTCCGAGCCCTCGGCCGCCGACAACTCCATGGTCATGGTGAAGGCCCTGATGGACGTCCGGGACGAGCAGGCGGTGACGGAGTTTGCGCGCGAGGCGGAGCTGTTCGGTAAACTGACCCCGCACGCGGCCGTGGCGCGCTGCGTGGCGCTGCTGCGAGAGGCCGAGCCCCACCTGCTGGTGCTGGAGTATAGCGACTGGGTGAGTGGGGAGGGGGGGGGGAGTGGAAATGCAAGTTCAGTAGGTGAATGAGAGCGCTGATTGTTGGAATAGACAAGGATGGCTTACGAGGCTCACGAGGTTTTAACTATTTTTGGGGCTTTTCGAGTCAAAGATTGGTGGCGCGTTTTATATTTGAAGCAAGGAGGTTTGAGAGTCCCATTCGTTCATGCTTACCTCACTTACCTGCTACTATATATTTTCTAACACGCATTATAGTTTTACCCCCGTGCCAGTTACAAAACTGGGCCCTCTACAAAACTGGCTAACTACAAAAATACTACCCCGAAATTAGTTAAACTAACTTGGTGAGGTTGGGCACTTGGCCCAATCTCACCAAGTTATGTAAACTTAATTTTGGGACAGTATTTTTGTGGTTACGGAGTGGGGTAGTTTGGTATTTTACCCCAAATTGAGTTTACCGCACTTGGTGAGATTGGGCCCTGCTGCAAAGAGTCCCACACAGCCCACTGACTGTGGTACTTCGCGTTACCGCAGGGCGACCTGAAGCAGTTCCTGCTGGCCACGCGGCGGGACACGACTCGCGGCCTGCCCAAGCCGCCTCCCATCAGCGCGCAGCACGCGTACGGGGTGTGCTATCAGCTGGCAGCTGGCCTGGAGCACATTCACAGCCAGCGGTTCGTGCACAGGTGAGAGAGCTGATGATGGTGTTGGGTGGGGTAGGCTGGCCAAAGGAACTGGGAAGGGCGGTGACGTCCTGGGTGAGGTAAGCTGAGTTTACCTTAACTCACTGGTACTGAAGCATGACTGAGAGGGTTACTCAAAACTGATACGCTTCTGCTAGCGATGATCGCAATTTGATGGGCCTCGCCGGGTGTCTTCTGTAATTGTTCGTCGACACATTGTGATTTTAGAGTTGTACATCGATCAGTGGGATCACGTATGTTTTACTTGCTAACCACGGATCGTGCTTTACGACCACTGCACTGGCTCGCTTTTGTTTCTCGTGTCCTGACGCCTGTTCCTCCCCCCCCCCCCCTCAGGGACGTGGCGGCCCGCAACTGTCTCATCACCAGCCGTCTGGCGGTGAAGCTAAGCTGTCCGCGGCTCTGCCGGGACGCCTACCGCGACGAGTACAGCCTGGTGCGCGGTGAGCCGGTGCCGCTGCGCTGGCTGCCGGCCGAGGCGGCGCTCGAGGACGACTTCTCCAGCCGCTCCGACTGCTGGTCGTGGGCCGTGCTCTGCTGGGAGGTGCTCTGTCAGGGCCAGCGGCCGCACGCGGCGCTCAGTGACGAGCAGCTGACGCGCCGGCTGGCGGCCGACGGCGCCCCGCCGCCCCTCCCCGTGCCGGCCGATACGCCGGCGCCGCTGGCGGCCGCCATGACGCGCTGCTGGGCCAGCTCGCCCCGGGACCGGCCCGATATGGCCGATGTGGTACGGACGCTGGCAGTGCCGGACGCCTCAGAGACAGAGTGACGCGCGCGGCGGGGGTGAGAGGGAGAGAGGTGGAGGAGGCAGGGCAGTGTGACGCTAGGAGGCTGTCACTGCGTGCTGGACACCCACAGACTCGCGGGGAGATGAGTGTTGTCATGTGAGTGAGAACTTGCTTCCCAGGCGATGCCTGAAATAGCGACATCCTCGGCGGAAGCAATGTCCAGTACGCGCAGATGAACAAGGCCAGGAAATCTCATCGGGGAGGGTATTCTTTTACGAGCTTGAGTTGCCGTGGGGAGGTGAACACTCAATAAAGTAATCTCAAGTTCACTGGCGCATAATTCTGCGCGTCCTTCCAGCATGCAGGTCTGATCTTTTAGTGAGATCAGCTGCTGGCATGTAGACTCTGCTTTGGGACTTGCTGCATGACAGACAGTCGCGCCGTGGCTTTGGGTCTTATTGCTCCATCAGTGGCGGTCGTTTCCATCTTACACTGGGTCAGCGAGCTACTAAATTATCGTGTACTGTGTACATCTGAACGTGTTAACCGAGGGTTTGGTGAGTCATTTGCGCTTCCGCGGCCGCGGTCAAGGACTGCTCCTGTAGTTTTCGCTCCAAAGGGACGACAGAGAGTAAATCTCTGGCAGATTTGTCACGCACTTCGCCGGACCGAAGCCTCATCTTCACTCACGCAGCTCGTATATACGCCGACCTGCGCGCTTAGTTCGCTGTATCTGATTCGTATTGGTATGCTCAACGAATTCGTTTTGCCGAGCGCCTGGGTGTCTGGGGTCTCCGCGGTCGGCAGCGGCCGACCGTTTGGGACGAGTCTGGAGTCTGGAGTATTCAGACGTCTGGAGTCTGGAGTACGCCGCTGCAGTCTGGAGTCGACCGTCAGGCGCCCGCCGGGTCCGACCGCCTAGTCATTTCACGCAGAGGGGCACCGGGGTGTCGCGTGTACCGTTCATTGTGTCATGTCACTTGTGTTCACTGCATAATCCTGTGTGGGTTCAGTCATCCTGAGTTTTGCGATGGCATGCACGCGTCGTCTTCACGGATTAACGCGCGAATGTGTTTTAGCGAATCATGAGTATGTTCTTTGTATTTTTAATAATAAAGGAGCTGACATACCTTTTACATTCACTGCAGCGAAAGGACTATTTCACTGTCGCGGTTCATAAGGGTCAAAGCAACAGGGATGTAGAGATCAGCCTAACCACCAAGGTAAATCAAGTGTAGTAGATGCAGTAATTCAAGTAGATGGTGTCCAAGGTAAATCAAGTGAAGCCCAAACTGGTCGGTAGAACCTGTGTTCCAGCTGCTATGTCAACCAATAAAAGGTTCCACTAGTTCGCGGGGAAGGTGCAGTTCTGCTCAGCATTAACCCGGCAGTTGCTGGGGTATTTCGCCACCCACCGTTTGCTGGGGGGGGGGGGGGCGTTAAACGCCCCCAGCCGATAACTCGAGAACCAATAGGCGCAGCGAAACGCACGAGGCGGCAAACGAAAGAGCGCGACGAGACGCTTCAGATGAGTACTTTAAAGTTGAATTTTGAGGTCACAGGTCGGGTCAAGGTCAGGTCAGACACCTGAAATCGGGCTTTCAGTAGCATGGACTTCAGGACTTCGCAATGGGCGCCTCTCGCCATAAACTCTGTCAAAACGGTGCGCAATCCATCTTATAAGGCCTACAAGAGTGTCAGCTTCATATAGGGGTCAGTCAAGCATAGGTCAGGGTCAAGGTCAGGTCAACCGGGTAGGCACATATCCCCGAAAATCAAAACTGATATTCGCAGCCTGTGACACATGTTTTATAGGTAATTTGGGGCGTAGAACACGATGGTGACATTCATTTTATCATATGTGTACGTGTTTGGCTCAAAAAGTTCAATTTAAGAAATTCATGTATCATGGTCGTGAAGTAGTCACGAAAAATTGCCAAGATTCAGTTCAACATTTTGGAAAATGCGGAACGATAATCAATAATTGAAGATATCCATTTGATTTATCATGATATTGGCAGTCTAATGGCATTTACGGCATGTCTGTATGTCTATTCTGTGATTTTATATGATTTTTTGAACATATGCCGTTTTTGGTCGAAAACTCAGAAATCATGACGTCACTAAAACCTCGATATCTCAAAAAAATTTCCGACCGATTTTTTTTAAACTTTGTCACCATAAACTTCAATCAATTCCCTACAGGTACACAAAATTTGGCGCGCCTGCGGCGCGCCGTTTTTATGCTATGGCCCGGCGAAAAAAGTGGGGGCGTTTAACGCCCCCCCCCAGCAACTCGCGGATTAATACGATATGCCTTATCAACGATGGGTAATGAACCACTCCCGGGTGGGCTTTGTGCGCCAGAAATCTGCGATGGGTTCACAAGTCAATGTCGAAGTAATCGGGAGTTATACAATACCATTTCATGAGTACCACCAAACAAATAATGATTGCAAGGCAAGCAACATGTGCTATATTCTGGGCATATCTAGTCACATAAACAGCAAACGCAAGTTACAGCAACAAAAGCACGTCGCAACCGCGCCGGCTGTCCTGACTGGTGCACTGTGACCGAACCAATACTGACTGTCCTGGTGCACTGTGGCCGAACCAACAGTCCTGAAGCAGTGACCGAACCAATACTGACTGTCCTGGTGCACTGTGACCAAACCAATACAGACTCATGACTGGTGCACTGTGACCGAATCAATACAGACTGTTTCTGCATCCTGTTATCCTCTACAGACCACTTGGCCTGTGAGCTAAGTGCCTTAGGTGACGGCGGTGGACCAAAAACCCGGCCTGGACCGGGCGCAAACAGAGACAGACATACAGCGGACACTCGCAGACACAGCCCCAGAAGGCGACCAACCGGCCCAGCCGACACCGACACCGCGCGCATGCAGGAAATCACAGGAGGGCCGCAGCACGGTGCGCCCCTGGTCTCAGCGGTACCCCCGCTCCGAGACCCGCCCAGTCATGGATCGTTTCACTGAATGAGACAGCGCAGCCCACGGCCCGCACGCAGACACGTTAGAAAACAAAGCAACGCTGAGAAAACGAATGTCCCTTTGAACTTGTACACAATACTTTAATATCGTTTGTTTTGAGCCCGACAGTCCTCAGTTAGATTTTGTTCCGGCGCCTCGGTCGTATGACGTAGCAAACGGAATTAAAACTAGCCATAACCCTGCCGAGTGCCTTCCAGAAGCCAAAACATCCCATACACAGAACAAAATAAAACCTCCGACTGACGATGGGCCTACCTACAGCACGACGCCCTTACAAAACGAGACCATAGAAAACACCTAGGAATACCGCCGCCAGTTCCGTACCGCGCCATACACCGACCGGCCTCACTCCCTGCCCATTACAACGCTCACTACCGAGAGCACGCCCCCCCCCCTCATCACCCCTTCCAGCCTGACCGGGAGTCCACCATCACGGCCCGCGCTGGGCGCACCACCAACGCAGGGAAACAAAACAACCGCACGATGCTGGCAAGCAAACCAAACGTCCGGCCCCGGGCGGGCGCCGCGCGCGCGCCGTGAGATTCGGCGGCCGTCCTCCGCCACGCAGTCGCGACACCTCGGTACACGGGTAGAGCAGGAGGGGCTACTCGGCGGCGGCGCCGTCTAGACACTCTTTCTCGTTCAGGAGATCCAGTATCAGGTCGTACACGGGCTCAAATACCTTCTTGTACCCCTGCCGGAAGGAAAAAAAACTGTGATGAAAAAACAACAACTTAGCACATTTGTGACTCATCACCAAGGAAGATGTTTCACATTAGAAACGGCGGCAGCTGTTTGTGTCTGCTCGACGTTCGTCATATGGATCTCGCATGTTGCAATGTCAAAACTTGCTCCGTTCCCGGTGCAGGCGTTCTCCGCTCCCACGGCAGGCGGACGGACGGACACATTACCTATGGTGAGGGATGGAGAGTGGAGGTAGTAGGTAGGCAGGTGGGTACCCCTGTTTCCGGGCGTCCTACCTGTGCCGGAGGTGGAGGTAGTAGGTACCCTCCCCCCCCCCCCCCTCCGGCCCCGGGCAGTTACCTGCGGCGAGAGGTGGAGGTAGTCGGTCATATCCTGGTGGCTGAGGGTACCGTCGGCGCTAACCAGCTCCGAGTAGTCAGCCAGCAGCTGCGTCCGCGCCAGGCCCGACAGACGCTCAGACAGCAGCCGGTTGGTGGCCGCGTTACGCTCCCGCAGCGCGTTCGGCTTCTCACCGCGCGGCAGAAGACCCTAGGCGAGGAGAAACGGGCGTGTTAGATCTTACTATCGCAAGGGAGTTGCCTCGACACAGTGATGGAAAAGAAAGGGGAAAGGGGACCGAAAGAAGAGGCCAAAGTGGAACACGAGTCAGACGCCGAACGACACACAAAGCAACTGTCTTACACTGATGAAAAGAGCAAATCGCCAAAGATTATTTAAAGGTAGTGTGCCAGCTTTCTTGGACCGTATGGAGTTAATGGCCCAGATAAGGAGAACCGGATTTTTAGAACTTATCCATACCTTCAAAACTCATGGAAACGTCTTAAATTCTTCAAATTTTGAGTACCCCAGTGCGAAATTCGCCCCGACGGGTTGTCGGTCGTACCCCAACCACATTTCACACCACTATGAACAATAAATGCACACACTGAAATCGCTATTACCAATATGCTCATCCAATCAAGTTTCGATAAACCCGTTCATCATCATCTCCTGCGGTTTCGAACACGCCTGTTAGGTGGCTTTCGATGCTCGTCGAGGTCGGAATTTCCAAATACGCGTGGTGCGTCGGGCCGCGCGCTCTGACTTCGGCCAAGAAAAATGCGTCAGCTGATCATTGTCATTTCTGCCACTTGCGTGTGGTGAAATGGGGTCATAACTTATAAGACGGCTTTTTCATATCAATTATTTTACATACAATCATATTTCAAACCATAAATAATGTTCGACAGCCAAATAAAAGAAACAATACCAATACGGGCTTACAGTTTAAGGCTCGACATTGTGTTGTCTACGATTAGACAGCTGATAACTCATTCCCGTACGTCGTATGGTCGTAACACTATAATGACCTTTGCTTATTGTCACAAGTGCGCCGCATTCGCGATTGTTGCCCGACGCCTGTTTGCAGGTGAGCCCACTACAGTTGTTATACATATCTAAAAACCGATAAACTTAGGCGAAAAAGGCACTATTCCAGGCCCATTTTTGATTTTTTTTTTGCGATATTAGGTAAAAACAGAAGCTTCTTATCCTAGGAAAAATAAAATGGGAAATCTTTCAAAGGTGGCACACTACCTTTAAAGTGCCCATTTGTTCAAGCTAGTTTGAAGGACATTCCTGTGTCTACACACATAATGGCGTCGATAGTTTGATGCCGCCATCGACGAACGACGTATGTACTAACCCAATCCAAGACGTTCATATTTGATCACAACCTGGATAAGCTAAGCCACAGACTTTGTATAGAGAAGTCTGTGGCTGAGCTAATATCGATGTCCGCCCAAAATTATACACATCCAGCCACTAGTTTTCCCGCTAACAGTCGCACGATACAACTCGAGGGCACAGCGGCCCGGCCTCCATGCATCCAGTTACCATGACAATGATGAAGGCCTGCGGCTGCAGCCTCCGGATGGCGGACACGTTGGCCATGATGCCGTCCGCGATCTGCTCCGGCGGGTAGCCGAAGTTGTTGGTGCCCACCAGGAGTACAACCACCTGTAGCGACAGCAAATATATCGTCAGCACCTGCAGAAACACGTCCATCACCGACACTAACACCAGCATCAAAACAAACTAGATCGACGGCCGCAGACCATGGCTCTGCCCAGTGCCCGGCCGAGCGCACGTAGATATCGGAAGCCTGTCTTAGCGAGCGCTCGGGATCCACTACCACCGTATCACCACCTGCCGCACGTGTTCCCGCCCCGTACCTTTGGGCAGAAGCTGTCCATCTCGCCGTTAGTGATGCGCCACAGCACGTGCTGCGTCTGGTCACCGCCGATACCGAAGTTGAGCGCGTGCAGCGGCGCGAAGCAGCGTCTCCACGTCTCAGAGTGCTGCAGGTGGTAGATGAGCGAGTCGCCAATAAACACCACGTCCGGCTCCCGCTCCTTGGCCTCGCTGACAAACCGACGGTGCTGTGATAGAAGGGGGGACAGGGTGGTCAGCTGGACAGTGGAGTCAGATGGGGTGGGGGAGGGGTAGGAAGGTGACAAGGTTGTCAGTCAGCTGATGAGTGGTGCCACACACTGCTCATGGGATAACAAAGCCCCTTCTTATTTTACACACAACTTCCTTTGTAAGCACAGCAGAGTAAGGACATTGAGCGCAATTACAGGGTGCATGCGAGACATCCGGACACTTTGTTTTCTCGTATTTCTGCTCTCTCTGTCCGTCATGGAGCTGCATGAATTTAAAGGTTGGGAACTTACCAACCTGACAACCGTCTGCCATTCGCCGCTGACCTTGACCCGGTCGGTCAGTAGAGGTCAGGTCACCGAACAGTTCGTCGGTGTAGCTGAGCGTCAAGAGGGTATGGCGAAAAACTACAGCACCTCGTTTCGTGGCAAGGTTGTGGGGATGGTGCATGGAGGGATGAGGCCCAAGATTGTCTGCAGGCAGCTCAGCATCAGGCGAAGTCAGCTTTACCTCTGGTTAAAGAGAGAGAAGCTGGGCCAGGGGCTCGCCAGTCAGCCCGGTCGTGGTCGCAAGTGCACGCTCCATCCGGTGGTGAAGAGAGTGATCAAGATGGCGACTGGTAAACGGCATCAATCGACCCGGAAACTTTCGAGACGCCTGACTAATGCAGGCTAAAAGGTATCCCCCACAACAGTTCACCACTACCTCCGCGAAAATATAAGGATGAGGCCGTTGAAGCAGAAAAAAATCGCCAAAGCTCACTGAAAAACAGCGTGCGGACCACCTGAAGTTCGCACGGGAGCGAAACAATTGGTCAGTGGAAGACTGGAAGTGGGTCCTGTGGTCGGACGAGTCGCCGCACGAGGTGTTCCACCCGCCAAACCGACAAAACGACCGCGTGTGGGTGGCCACGGCAGCTCAGACGTGCAGACCGTCAGACATGATGATGAAACGTAAACCGCAATAGTACTTATAGGTATCATCGTAGGGGCGGCGGAACGGGGAGGGCACCGGGGAAGCACCGTCCAGCACTCTGTGTAGGTGCATGTCTGGGGAATGATGTTCCACCGTGCGCTCTCCCAGCTGCACGTGGTGCCCCCAAAAGTGGTCATCAACGGAGAGTATTACCGGGAGAACATCCTCGCCAAGGATTGTCTGGACGCCACCCAACGAACGGCTGAGACAGGCGGCGTTCTGAAGCACTCTGGTGACGGACACAAACCGGGCCATCTTCATGCAGGACGGCGCTCCACCGCACACGGCCCAGAAAACACAGCAGTGGTGTCGCCAGCACCTGTCCGACTTCTGGGAGCGTGGCGTATGGCCCGGTAACAGCCCCGATCTCAACCCGATCGAAAACCTCTGGGCTATCTATCGTTCAGCAAGAGGTCGACAAGATGGCACCGGCTGCCAGCGCCGGCGAGCTGGCAGAGCAGCTCCAAAAGGCGTGGGGCCGCATCAAGCCCAATGCGCTGGAGAACCTGGTGGCAGGGATACCCAAACGTATGCCTGACTGTATCGCTATGTGGACGGCTACATCGGAAAATAAACAGAAAAGCATTCTTCTCTTGTTTTACAAATCAGAGGGGAAAAGTGTCCGGATGATTCTGATACACCTTGTAAGGTGCTTAAAAATAAGCTGACTAACCACTGGCGGATCCACGGCCGCCCCCCCCCCCCCCCGTAACACCCGAAATCGACAAAAAGTTCTTTTTTAAAATAAAACAAAAACTAAACAACTTTCATCAGAAAATGTTTGTTTGAAACCAGCGTAAATAATCGAAATCTAATGAGTTTTTGGAATTAAGTGACACTTGTTTGGGGTATGCCTCCCTCTCCTCCTCGGGCTCCTCCCCCCCTCCCCCCCCCATAGCATCCAAGACAGCCTTTCTGGATTTGCCAGTGTGACTAAAATATGGCTACACAATTAATAGACTTTAGACAAGGTAACTAGAAAATCTATTGGCCCTAGTCATACTCATCATATAGTTGCTTATGGCTTTGAGCATCCTTTCCCCAGAATCTACCCATGTCCTATGCATACTTGGAGTACTATACTTGACCAAACCTTAAGAGAAAACAAGCTAATCAGACAGTCAAAAAATGTATGTCAACAGTCCAAACTGGGTGCTAAGTTGAAGTCAGTTGGGGAAGCTACGAGGCAAATATAAAAAATTGATTAGTCAATAAATGGACTTTTGATGACCATATATGAGCAGAAATGCAGCCCCCGCTACTAAGGGTGAAAAACAGTATAACAAGCCGGTACATGCGGTATCGCGTCCACTTATAGGAGAGAAAAGGCTTCCATTTTTCACCCGGAATTAGAGTGATTTGATTAAATTCAGCGAATTGACTCGAAAATGGCGATAGGATAACAACTTTTCTGCAGGTTCTGGGCGTCACAATCAGCTGGCCATTCAATAAATGAATTGGTGTTTTGAAAGAAAATTGTTAAAAGATTTAATTAAATTACAACAAACAAAGATATTTAATCTTAAAATAATAACTTAACCACAATTGGAAAAACTATAAACAAAATAATAAAAATAATGACATTTTTAAACACGGTACTCTGCCGTCCAAAGGCAAAACCGCATGTCGGGTCAGGTCATGACCCGACATATGCGTTTTTGCCTTTGGACGGCAGTACTGCTTACATTTTTTTGCGCGTCTGTTTCGATCCGCCATATTTGCCAATCACTGTTTGACCTTGCGTTGTAACTCTGCGATTTAGAGCCGCCAGTTAATTATGCACCGAGTGAGTGTAGGCCTTGGGTGGTTAAAAAACATTCTTATGCCTTATTTTTTTCATTTGAATGCTAGGATGCATTGAAAAGATGGAGTTGTCTGATTTTATGACCATATATGGTCATCGCCCAGCCCACTCCAGCCGTTGATTGGCTAATCCAATTTTTGTTTGGCTCCTCGTAGTTTCCCCAACTGAAGTGCTCACTGCTCACCATACTCATCCATCTGGAATCTCCCTGAATATCTTCCGACAGGGTAGGTTCCGCAGACATTGTGCCCTACTGAAATATATAATAAAAGTTCAATTAATAGGCCAGTCACCAGCCAAAGACACAGATCTGATATTAAACACCTATCCAACTACAAAAGGGCTCTGGTATTAACTGGATAATTCGCCAGCTGACGCCGTATGGTGGCGCTAGTGGAGCAGCACCATATGACGTCAGCAGAAAACACCGTGAGCAGCTATGAAATGGGAACGAGCACCACGGAAATATCGAAAGGTGATGGACATGTACTGACTTTGGTCATTCAAGTACCACCAACACCATACAAAAACCATATAATATTATCAAGACTGATTCTGGAATCGATTTGTTCGGGTATTTAAAACACACAAAAAATGTTTGTTACCGAATTCTGAAACAGTATAAGGATATTCTTGTTCCTTACTTTTGCCTTGTGGAGTACTTTTACTTGCTTTCTAGTGCGCCCATCACTATCTTGAAATCTGGATTGCAACGCTGTAGGAAAACTTTATTTCATTTGTCATTTCTTCCACTTTTGAGCAGTGATAATTTATTTGGGTTTATACATTCAATAATGAAGACGGCTCCTAACTTTTTAGGGATCTGCAGTGGCTCTGAGAGTAAAATCAGATATTTTCTAGAAACTTGAGGCCACTATTTTCTTATATGCTAGATAATATACAAATATTGACATGTAAAGAATGATACGGGTGTATAATTCTGCATAAATATCAATTCAAAGTATTTAAATTTTTCAAGAACCTTTTTAATTCTTCCATAATGACTTCTTTCAATACAAGCTAGAAGCAATTTCAATCAATAAAGCAGCACAAGGCAGTACATTGAGCTACAATGATCCATAACCAATCGGCACCTGCAATTTGATTGATCTTCGAGATGTACCCTGCCTGTTTCCTGACTTTCCCTTTTCGTTGTACTGGGTGAAGTGAATATTCTGTGAATATTCTTCTGACAGTCAGTTTTTAATCCTACATTATGTTGTCAATCAGATTTAATTGGTTCAAAAACCGTCGTAGTCCGTCTCATTCGCAGTCTACATCTCCACATGCGCACCCATACATGCTCAAAATTTTCACTACGTATGTACTATGTACCCTGCAGCGTATCCTGATGAAAAATGTTTTGTTGAAATCAGAGACACTTCCCAAGGTAGGCCATAGTACATGGCCATATATTTAAGTCAAAACAGATAAACAGATAAACACAATTCCAATCATCAAGTCAACCAGCATCGACAATCTGCACATAAGTTCTAAACCTATTGTAAGACTACTTTGTATTCAAACTTTGTATTGCAGAAGGGTGGAAGCTGCATGGAATTATGCGACAATTTCAGCGTGCATCCACGCTCGAAAGAGCAGGGTTAATTGTAACAATGTCAATACCATAATAACGTAATTGTAGGTGTTGTGATTCGGTTGTCTCTTGTCTGTGCTGGCCATTGCGCGGGCGGTCCAGCGGCGGAACTCGGCTTCGCCGCCGTGGCGCGCTGGCAGTTGCTTCTTCTTCTTCTTCTGCATCCCATTGCCAACCCGCTCAGGGGGGCGGCGGCGCAGGCGGGTCGAGCGGCGGCTCGGTCCGCCCAACATCCTCGATGAAGGTGACGACCTTCGTCGCCGGGCCGCCGAGGACGTCGACCAGGCGAGGGTCGACACCCCAGCGGCGGCGGCGGGCCGCCTCATAGGCCGGACAATCGGTCAGTAGGTGCGCCGCGCGGTCGGGCTCCCCGCACGCGGGGCATTCGTCGTCGGCTTCCGGGCCAATCTTGTGGAGCGTGTCACGGGTCAGCGGTGATGTGCCGGTCCTCAGCTGGGACAGCGTCACCGACCCCAGCGCGCCAGGGAGTCGTGGCCAGGCGTGGGGTCCGGGTGCGGGTGGGCAGCGGTTGCCCTCTGTCGCGACAGCTCCCGGACATGGCGCGTGACGGCGGCCCGCGCACTCGACAGGTCGATCGGTGCGCTGTCTTGGTCGCCCGCCGTGGCCTCGCCAGCCAGGAGGTCGGCGGTTTCGTTGCCGTCCAGCCCGGCATGGCCTGGCACCCACTGGAGCACCGTCTCGGTGCCGTTCTCGGTGAGGGTGCTCAGCACTCAGCAGCCTCCACACCTCGGCGGCCAGGGCCATGGTCTGGTTAGCTGGGCCGCGGCCAAGTAGTTGGAGCCCAGACCTTGAGTCGGTGAGGAGGCGGACCGACTTGGTCGATGCCAACTCCCCGTCCTCCAGGCCGGCCACAGCCGCGAACGCCTCGCGCATGGCGGTCAGTTCTGCTCTTAGGCTGGAGCAGACCGCCCCTGCAGGAGCGCGCACGGTCTCTTCTCTGTTGAGGTGGTGGAACTGGATCAGCGCCTGCGCCGCCCTGTTCCGTCCGCCGCGAGCCGAGCCGTCCGACCAGATAGTGACGTCCGGGTGCGGGAGCTCTGCAATGGCTCGCAGGGCAGCTTCCCTGCGGACTGCAGGCGGGTCCGACCGGCGGGTGGCCACGGGCAGGTCCACCCTGAAGGTGATGCCGCTGCGGTGGCCCAGCCATGGCGGGTCGCAGCTGTAGAACGCCGAACCTGTAACACAATAGAATTGCAATTGTAACAAAGACCTGCATGGTCAGCACACATCTGTCATCTGCAGTGACTGTCATCCCAAGTTGGTATGAATTGGCACAAAGTTGGGTCATGGTAGCACTAGCAGACGTAGCACAAGCTGTTGTGATATGCCATACCGTAGGACTAGGTCGTAGGTTGTAAATTTTAGGTTTAAGGCTGTAGGTTGTAGGTCAGGTTAGGTAAGGTTTGGTTAGAAAGACCCATTCTCGTGCATCGGGCAGCTTGTGCTACATCTACCTTACCAATACCCAATTTGGATTCCCAAAATTGATGGCAAACAGGCTTTTTGTATAACAAGTGTGGTTAATTGTTCTAATCCCCGCTGCAATGTGAGGGTAACTGCTTTTCTACAATCACAAAATTTGAATTCATATAGGTAGGTGTTTACATGTTCAGAAAATGATACAAAATATGACACGATTATAGCTGCAACTGGATAATGGATACCAACCTCAACTAAAAGTTTCTGCAGCCTTATAACCTAACAAATGACTAAATTGCCAAAATAAATCCCTTAGTACAATAGCTTGACTCTAAAAAATAACAGAAATTTTGCATGCAGACCCTCTGAAATGGAGGGTTTATGAAAAGTAACAAAAATAAACATTCACCAATATCAATATGTTGTTATAAATTTCATATGTAGCATAAGCGCCAATACTGCCTTCATTTACAATGTTGCTACTGTTTTCCACTCACAAACGCTGCCCTCCGTGGACAGCAGCAGCAGCAGTGAAACGTCACCCGTGGTGTGACATCATCACCCATGACGTAATGGAAATCCAGTTGTTACCAAGGCCCCTACAAAATAAACCGCGCCCACCGCAATAACGCGTCTTCAGGAGGATGCCAGTAAATAAAAATAAATCATCGTAATATGTCTGTGACGTCATTAAAACAAACTTTCTTTATATCACTAGCAGTTTATTGATGCACAATTTATGACGGTGTATGCATTAAATGGACAGTTTTTTGTTTAAAAGAGCCCGACTGAATACATTTTGCTCTTTTGTTGTCTTATTTCAAAAAGAATATTTTCAATGAAAGAGGTTTTTCTCTTGACTTATGACGTCACATGTACCACATGATGATCAATATAGAACACAAGCGATATACTCCATCTGGCGCACTTGATTCAATAGTAGAGTGCTGAACAAGGCAGCTATATTCTAAATGGTGAAAAATAATGTTTTGCGAATAAGGATGTGACCAAGGTGCAAGCGAAGGTGTCAGCAAATGAGTTACTGATTGATAACTAAAAGAGTGAAAAGGATGAAAACTTAACATTTCAAAAATTAGTCGAAACTTTTTGCACAAATCACTGTACAGACGGGACCTGCGGTTCCGGGCACATACCCCGGGTACGTAGCAGAGGCGGATCCAGCCCAGTTTTTTTTTTGGGGGGGGGGGCAAACCTTAACAATTTATCGATTCTTTCCATGCCTCGTCCATAGGCGTAATGTTAAAATTATGCCGTTTGGGAGGGGCAAATGCCCATTTTGCCCCCCCCCCCCATGGATCTGCCACTGGTACGTAGTGGACGACGGACGTATATCCCTCCTCAAAATGATTAAATTTAAATGTTTTGACTGCATCGGAGTCCGGACTCCGGAGATGAAAAATCAGACGGTTTTAACCCTCGCCGGCACAGGCCATTTTGAGTCCTTCGACGGCACAAGGGGGGGGGGGGGTTGGTACGACCCCCCCTCGCGTTTGGCCCCTGATCGAGCTAGAGCTTCGCGGAAAAAACGAGCGTGCTGCCCGTCACGAGAGGAAGCCGATGATACCCAATTTTAAGGCCCTAGGTCATCGGGTGACCTTCCAGGTCAGGTCAATGACCCGAAAACCGGGAAAATCGGGACCTGTTAGAAAGTCGTAAAGTGTGGCTGCTATGTGGTTTTCCGGGGTGCTGATCACGAATATCGTGTTAGTTTTGATCAGAGATGATGTCTTTAAGCATTTAGACCAGGTCAGGTCAGGTCAGGTCAACCGGTAGGGGTTGTGACGGGTATTCGTAATACGTTTCAACCGCCTCGGACAGTTTCGTAACATGTTACGAAGGCGCCAAAACTACTTCGTAAATATTCAAATGGTTGCTAAATTCGAATTCAGCTCCAAAAACTAGCCTAGAAACATGTAAAACTCGAAAAAGTGAACCGAGGTCACCCGAGGTCACCAAAGGTCAATGACCTGACCTGACCTTCAGGTGACCTTGACACCCACCCTAATGCATGGGAGCAACATCAAATCACATGTTTGAACGTTTGAAACCACGAAAAGCTTGCAAACGCGCGGCTAATGCGAGCCGACATGCGCCGAACCGCGATTTCGGCCAAACATGGTCACAGAAAAGAGGTCACAGGTCAAAGGTCATTGGGGTCAGGGTCATGAAATTTTCAGGGTAGGTGTAAAATTGATCAATGCGAGGGTACTGAAAGTTTCGTCGCGATCGGCCGCTTTTTACGTGAGTTATTCGCGAAAAACCTTAGGGGGGGGGTTGTATCAACCCCCCTCCCCTGTGCCGGTGAGGGTTAACTTTTAACCATGGACATAGACATCGAAGTACTGCAAAGTTGTACACACTGAGGCGCAAGAGTAAAAAGATCAGCTTTGCAGTCCCATTGTGATATGCCTACTAAGCAGAGCATTCATCGCGTAAGTCGCGCACTGCAGCCGCCACCCGCAGCCCACAGGGCACGTGTTATCGTCCGTCTGGTTCAGAGGCCGAGCCCGAGCCCGACAGTGTCGATAACGAACGTGACGCTGAAATCTTAATAGGCTCGCTCATATAGACCCCTGTATGTAGGCATGTAGAGCCTAGAGGTCTATGGCTCGCTGTTAGGTGCTTCACTTGGTGGGTCCAGCCTTGCACATCGTCAATTGCTGACGGGGAGGATTGTGAAAGGCATGTCGCAAAAGACACTACCGACTGATAAGGCGTAGGCTGCCATTGGTAGGTACACGGGAGACATTGTAGGTTATGGTACGCAAATGGGCAAAACACGCAAAAACTTAAGACGCATCCTTTCTCTTATAGGTACCTGTAGGTAGGGCGTAGGCATATACCTACAAATATAGGTATATATAAAAATATGGCATTTATTGTCATCCTGCTCATTGCTCAAGGATAACTCAAGAAAATGAAGCCATTGCCACTTGCCAGGCAGTGCTTTTTATCGCAGTTGTGTGTAGGCCGCTTAGTTAGATAGAATAAAGGCTTGATAAGCGCTTGAGTCGTCCAAGGGAGCTTATTCTCAGTTTCAGCTCGCCACCCATCTGCATCAGTCACTGCACCACGCAGTGTGCATATTTCGTGTGTAGTACAGGCGTCACGGGGGCAGCGAGGGGCCGGGGCAGGGAGCAGCTCTGTTTGCCGTCCGTCGCTATCGGAGCGATAACGCCTGAGTCACAATCAGGGTCCACCTGAGCGGCCGGGCCGTGCTCAGGCCCCGCCGTCGCCGTACCCGCCGTGCTCAGCCGTGGCGCGACGTGTCGTAATTCATCGCAGAGCTGGAGAACACAGAGACGTGCCCAGAAGGTTCTGAGGGCGGCGCTGAGAAGTGTGACAAGGAGTGAGGAGTGTGCCGAGGAGTGAGGGTCGTGTAGGGGAGAGAAGAGGGTGAATAGAGTGAGGTCTTCGCGAGGGAAGGGAAAGAGGTGAGAACTGAGAGGTGTGAGAGTTTGGCCGAGAGGAGCAATGGAAGTCTCTATGAATTCCAGACAGAGGACTCTTTTGTTTGTCATTAGAGTGCAATGTCAACTGCGAATTGTATCACCAATATCAATCATCATATCGTTTAAAAATAATTCAATAGCCACACCCAGAGCTGCTTCGTTGTATCATTGGCAGTGTGACCGTTTATCTAATCTTCCACCGACAGCTGCCGTAAGCTGTAGATACCGACCATTGCATTGAGTGAGCCAGTTGTACCGTTTCTGATGTTATTTCCTTTTACCGGCATCGACAGCCGTACCATTTATAACCACTGACTGACAATCGCACTAAACGGTTATTGGCTGCTGAAAATCGCGTAATTGATCTCTTATCCACCAGTCACCACTTGATAACAGAGCTGCGCCATTTATCAGCCACTGACAGCCGCCTTTTAGCGACAACTGAGTGTCACCGTTCTACTGGTCTCTGACGGTGTAAACTGTTACCGTTTACCGGCTACTGGCAATGTTACCGTTTACCGGCCACTGACTGGGCGGCCGTCCCCCCCCCCCCCCTCCAGACCAGCAATGGCCGCCCGGTGGCTGGTCGCGGCCGCGCTCTGCCTGGCGCTGGCACTGCCGACCGGCGCCTTCTGGTCGACCGTCTGTGGTGGCTGCACGTGCTCCACTGACACACCAGTGATGACCATCGACTGCTCGGACCACGACTTCACCTCTGCCTACACGTCGAGTGACACGTGGCCCACCAACCAGACTGACATCCACCTGATCTACGACAAAAACTCGCTGACAGAGGTGGCCAAGGTGCCGGCCCAAAACATCACAGAGCTCTCCTTCCAGCACAACGACATTGCCAGCATCGCGGACGGCGCGTTCGTGGCGCTGCCGCGGCTCAAACGGCTGGACCTCAGTCACAATAAACTGGTGCGAGACTCGCTGACGGAGAAGACGTTCCGCGGACAGTTCAGCGCCGACGACTACCAGCCGTCGCCGATCCAGCAGCTCGACCTCAGCTACAATAACGTAAGTATTCGTACATCTATGTATGTACACTTTACAGTGCGTAATGATGTACTTCAATTGCAATGAAAAATGTATATTGAGTGTGAAACATAAGTACCTCGCCTCCTTGTATAATTGCACGTCACGCTTATTTCGATATCGAGACAACATAGGTACCTAAATGTTGCTACAACGGTGGCGTGCAGCGGTGAACTAGCAGTTGACAAAAACGCGTCATGCTCCAGCTGGCAGCCATTGATGAGTGAGAGGTTGAACACTCAGAGCAGCCAGCTATCTTGCTGGGCAATTTGTATAACTGCAATATTCGATCGGTTTATCAGGCTTTTTTAGCGCAGCATGAGTGGGGAATGCCTTGCAGTTAGACTGTCCCGCATCACATCAATGCTTTGCGGGTCAGTCTATGCACCAGGCATTCTATGCATTTATATAGCTGCGCTTCGGGGCAGAGAGTTCAATTAGTAGCTCATCACGCCAACAGGCCACAGATGAAGCTGTAAAAACAGGGCATGGAAAGGAACGACTATCCGTTCATGCGGTTTTATATGTACGCACCATATCATCAACATTGAATACTCTGTCCTTCACTTTTTGTAAATCTTGGCACCGGACACTGATCCATTCCCGAGACCATGCCCGGGTGTGTCCACAGATTCACTCCATCTACGAGGAGGTGCTGTCGCACTTCTCCAGTCTGCTGGAGCTGGACCTGTCGTACAACTCGCTGTCTCTGCTGGACCACCACACCCAGATGGCCATTACCTCGCTGCCGCGGCTGCGCACCCTGCAGCTGGCCGGCACCGGGCTCAAGGAGATGCCACACGGCCTGCTGCACTCGCTCATCACACTGCGACACCTGAACCTGGCTGACAACCAGCTGACGGAGGTGCCGCCCGAGCTGCACAACAGGTCAGGCGGCTAGGTGACACACACACAGGTCAGACGGCTGGGGATAGGTGACACAGGTCAGGTCAGGTGACTGGGGATGGGTGATGGGTCACGGGGCTAGGTCAGACGGCTGGGGATAGGTGACAAAGGTCAGGTCAGGTGACTGGGGATGGGTCACGGGGTCAGGTCAGCAGTCAGCTGACCGGATTAGAGGTGCTAGGTCAGACGGCGGACACCGGGATAAATGGTCAGGTGATGGGCAGCTGATGCCTGATGCCGGATCAGATCATCAGGGACCTCAGCTCAGCCGGCGACTGCTCACGAAGGCGGGTCAGAAAGGTTATGGTCTCGTGACATTTAGATGAACATTAAGCTGATGTAAAGCTATGTAATCGTACTCGTACTTGTTAACAGTTTCCAACCATGTTAATAAGTGATATGATCCATTGCAGCCACGCCATCGAGACCCTGACACTGAACAAAAACCCGATCAAAGACATCAACGAAGATTCGTTCCGCGGCATGGTCAATCTGCGAGTTCTCAACATTGCCTATATGCCGAACCTCGGTGAGACTTATAGGCCTTTTGTGTGTAATGTCTTACGGGCTTAACTACCGGAGCACATGAGATGTGCTCGTAAAAAATGTGTATTTTATTGGCGATCAACACTACAGCCCTATGTATAGCCGTAAAGCCGTACATAATATATGTATTGGTAATAGAAAATTGTGAGACAAGGCACGACTCACAAAGAATGTTATATGGCTACCACGAATAACTTCTAATCACATGTGAGACCTTCGCTTGTAAGTAACAGGTACAATGCAACGTTGAAACGGTTTGATTGATCATTTTAGGCAGTTTTATTTCGTACGTCTTTTTTCAAACTTGGACGTAACAGTATGATGGGTATGTCGCATTTGCGCACGACATCCGTCACCCCTTCGCTCTCGTGCTGACAGAATACATCAGCGACAACTCGTTCTCCACGCTGGTCGCTCTAAGGGTCCTCCGTTGTCGGAACAACGAGAGGCTGTGGAGCGTCAGCCCGCACATCTTTGACGGCATGGACACCTCGCCTGGCATCTTCCCCCTGCAGGAGGTACGTCATAAATCACAGACGCAACGGACACAATCATAGGTACATGCACGTGCATGGTAGACGTATCGATTTGTAGACGTACTGTTCGCGTGCAGTGTGCAAATCGCTCCGTATACCATGCATTGGTTGCGTCTATTATTCATAACTCATCCTGTCAATAGCAAACACTGTTTCTCTTTTAGTCATCAAGGAAACATTTTGTTGACAAAATAGAATGAAATTTCCAATTACGCGTCTGATCTGTTGTGTTTGTTTTCCTTCATTATCGTATTTCGTTCACAAATTTGTACTCGCACTACCTGCCGTCGTTTGTCCATCTGGAGATTTGACGCTCCCCACCTAATTACCCCTCTCACTCCGTCTCCGCTCGCCGTTTCTCCGCAGCTGTTTCTGAGCGGCAACAACCTGACGACGCTGGCGGCCGAGACGGTGCCCTTCTGGGACCAGCTGCTGCAAGTGCAGCTGCACGATAACCCGTGGCGCTGCGACTGCCGCCTCCAATGGATGGTCGACCTGCTGCCCAAGCTGGTGGAAAAGGGCCAAACCGAGGCCGAGCGGGTCACGTGAGTTGGGAGCAGTGCTCACTGAGTATCTCAGAGAAACTACCACGGCTGATATCCATCTCTGTCTCAGTCTCTCCATGATGGAACTCGTTTTTGGGACTTTCTTTCTCCCTCTTTATGGTCAAACTAAGAGCCACTGCGGGCTTCAATGATCGTTCCCTTATCAACATCCCTTGACCGTTCCTGTGACCGTCCATGTGACTGTCCATGTGACCGTCCACGTGACCGTCCATGCAAACCGCCTCTGTGACCTTCTGACCCACTGTGACCTCTTGACTTCAGGTGCCGCCTGCCGGAGAACCTGGCCGGCGTGCCTGTTCTGGGTGCCGCCAAATCCAGCGAGGGACCTCTGCCGTGCACCCCGGAGCTCCACCACACCTACATCCACAACGGGAGCAGCACCACCCTGGCGGCTGCCCTCACCATCGGAGGGGTGGTGATCTTTGCGGCCACGTGCGTGGTCCTAGTCCTCTTCTGGAGGCGCAACAAGATCCGACAGGCCTACAGGTGCGTGGAGAGAGAGAGAGAGGGTGAGAGAGAGAGAGAGAGAGGGAGAGAGAGAGAGAGGGAGAGAGATAGAAAACGGAAGAGTGGCGCAGAGAGATGGACAGATATTGAGGATGGCAAGGGAAGGGAGGGAAAAGGGTGACGGCGAGGGATTATGCTTTATGGTGCGTGCTGGCTTCAACTGAAAGTGCACTCTGCACAGCGCAGGTTGCTAGGTACGAGTATATCGTAGCGTTGAGTGGGCAGATATGACGCATACGTACCGATACACGTCGATAACTCTGCGACGTAAAGCTGGCGGCGTCACACATGCATTGAACTCGCGTCTGATGGTTACATTTGTGTTTCATGCTTCGTCCCTTTTCCAATCAACAAACCTCCTCTAAGCCACACAAATCACGTACCCGATATACAAATCACATACTCTGCATAACTCTCTGACCGGCTCGCCCGTGCAGCAACAAGCTGTACGTGACCTCTCAGCTGGGAGCGGTGCTCATCCTGCTCGTATGCGTGTTCTTCTTCTGGTTCGTGGTGGCAGCGGCCCACTCGGGCGCCGTGCCGCCCGCGGACCGGCTGCTGCTGCGCATGGTCGGCAGCTTCGTGCTGTTTCTGCTCATCACCACGGGCGCCACCGTGTTCGTCATCCGGCGAGAGACGACGGCGGCCAGATGCCGGTGAGGGAGGCCGGGGGAGGTCACCGGGCGGGTCACCGGCGCCAGCGACACTGTACTTTATGTACGGGAGTGGTGGGCAGGTAGCAGAAAAAGGAATGATTGAAAATGTACAATAGAAAGCGCGGGATTGACGCGATGTGTTTTAATCTCTCGTGATCAGTTCAAATGTACTTTATATGAATATTTCTTCTTCCATTTTCTTCGGGGCTTGTTGTCACCGATTTTGTGTCAGGCACTTCAACCGAAATGTTTGAGGAGTTATTTTGATGCAGGTGTACTTCTTCTAACTCTTTTCTTACTTCTTTCTTCTTGCAGTCGTGCAGCAAAATGCACGGTGCGCTGCAACACTCCGCTTATGTTTTACGATATTGTGCCATGATGCAGTGCCATCATAAGAAAATTATATACTTCTTTTTGTTTTATTTTGCTGGCGCCATCTCGAGTGACAACGAGCCCCGGTCTCCCCACCTGTATCTGTTCGTCCGTCTGTCCGTCTGTCCGTCTGTCCGTCTGTCCGTCTGTCCGTCTGTCCGTCCGTCCGTCTGTCCGTCGGATGGTCTGTCCATCTGTTCGTTTGTTCGCCCGTCCGTTCGCCCTTCCGTGTACGTCAGTTTATATTTGCAATGCTTAGAGCTCCCGACTCGTACCGCATCCTTCTATCCGGGTGAAATGACACGGTGGCTGGTTTCAGGGCGAAGCAGCAGATTCGCTACCGTCGCGCCGCCATGGAGGAGGAGGCTGGGATGGAGGACACGGCCCAGGTCGTCTCCACGTAATCAGAGCCAACGGTCACAGAGAAGGGCAGGGTATGAGGTTCGGGGAACAATTCCCTCCACCGAGTCGACGTGCTGCGAGATAAAGTCACTGTCGTCTTAAAGTGCCAACATGAACTCTGGAATCGCGAGGCTGGCTAGCCAGGGCTAGATTGTCTTTACAGAAGCCAGTCGTGCCTTTCAAACAGATGGCGTCAGAGCCTGGTGAAGATGCTTGCTTTGTGACGCTGTGATGTACATTGTGAACGTTATGTAGAAGTGGGCGACAAGCGGAGAGATTTGCTAGTCATAAGCGGGTGCGTGCTTCCGTGGTTTATAGCTTGCGCTTTTACCAAAGGAATCAACTCAATCGAGAATAAAGCGAAAAGTGATTCCAAGGAAGGGGATGATAAGACTTTTCTGAACTCTGATTGATATCATCGTTCGCTGGATTATCGTGACTACGCATTGACAATGGTACCCGTATGCTTACCTACTCTTTGACATTTTTACTCAAGTGATCGGAAATAAAGAAATGTGAATATGTGTTAATTCAAAGTGATGTGATTTTGGGTTGTCTGCTTTGCGATTTATTTGCACTCACCACCGATTAATTGTAGGTAGGTATTTATGGTTGTTTTGATGACTGTGTTCCTTTTCTCCGTTTTCAATGCCCCGACATATAGGTTATGAAGTTAGACGCAGTGTAACTTGAAATACAAAGGTAAAGCTAACTAACCTACATCCAAATAAACACGATGTTCTTATTTTCTATAAAACGCTATGCCACTTTACTTCTTGGAAAAATTCTGTTCATGTAATATTGCCTTTTGCAGAAAGTCTAGCCGTTTATCTTCCGACCGAATCAGCGAAGTAATTGACTAAGCACACGCAAATGGAACAGCAGGAGGACGGTTTCAGAAGTGCCGATACAGGACAAGTGTCTGGAATGTATTTACTCAATACAGGTCAGTGGACAGTGGGCACAACCTTGAGGATAAACAAACGGTCACTGCATTCACCCTTTGCCTCTCAAAATACACTTTACATAAACGCAGGCAAGCATTGCATATACGAGCACCTTATATATATAAAACTAAAAAGCAAAGCCACCCGCAATAGCCGATCTAGCAAATACATTATACAGCATCGATCAGCACACGATGTGACAAACGTGAAGGGCACGAGCCCGCGTCTCTATAATACTATAATACCTAGGAGCTGCATCTAAGCAAGTCGCGTAATGTGACACATTTACGAGCGTATAGTGAAGCAGATTATATGCCATATGATGCATGGAGACTTTTGACCTATAATGCTAGAAAAAATACCTAACTTGACTTGTGATCAGTGACTTACCTATAATAGAAGATAAATTTTGAACCACTAATCAATGCTTTTTTCGATAAATATCTAATAATGTTAAAACGTAAAAGCAAAATTAATTGGAAAATTAAAGCTTATGATGTATTAAACCGCACATTTAGTTAGTCTCTAATATTACAGGCACCATACCTAACTATAAAGATAGTTCTTAGGGCAAGAAATATTTTATTTTAGGCATGCGTAAAGGCTAAAGTAAAAGTTCGACTTATGATAGCTATAACAAATAGGTACACTAAAACACGATGCATTGCTTTGCGCTTAATAGCCTATAACCATATTTAAGGGTGCTAAAAGCCTAGCACTATCGTCTCTCGCCACTGCAGCAGCGCACCACCAACCAAGACCGTCCCAGGAGCTCCTCTGTGGCCTACAGAGCGCGCAGAGTCGTCCCGATGGCGACCAGTGCCAGCAGCGGGCCGGCGGCGGCGGCGGCGGCCGCTCCCACGCACACAGCCTGCTGAGTGCGCGGCTCCAGCTGCTCGCTCCAGCCCTCCTGGCAGCGGCACTCGTCCGCCCGGCACTCGGAGAAGGGGGTGCCGCACTCGTGTGTCTCGGTACACGGCTGGTGCAGGTCGTGCTGCAGCCAGCAGGCGTCCGACACGAACACGGCACCGTCCCGACACCGACACACCGTGCCGGAGACATTGACGGCCTGGACGCAGTCAGTGTGCTCCCCGAACGCTGCCTGACACTGGGTGGTCTCCGTGCACGGGTCTGTCTCGTAGTCGGGCACGTCCAGGTAGCAGGCTCCTCCGAAGAAGTTGGGTTTGCCGGAGGGGCACGCGCACGCGCCTGTCTGCGGACCGGCGGTGGCGTTGCAGAAGAGGCTGGTGTCGCGCCAGCAGTCCAGGGAGCTGATGCACGGATCGCCGGCACCTCCGGGCCACTGCTGACAGATGTCGTTGGCGGTATCCGGGTACGGGTAGACGGGCAGGGCGCACGAGCAGTTCATCGCCCCGCTAGTGGTGTTGGTGACCACACACGTCGACCGGGTGTTGTAGGTGTTGCAGGTTTCGTTGGAGGCACAGCTGACGTTCAGAATGTTTGATCCCAGGCTCTGTGGGTCCTGCGGTGCTCGAACAAACAGTGCCGACCGGCCAGCCAGAGCCGCCGCCGCGCCGAGCGTCACGAATACGAGCAGACGGTAGTGCCACATCTCTGGACCTCGGGAGAAGTAGAACTAAACTGAAGCTCAAACGGCCAGGAAGGAGGAAGTGACCTCTCCGTCTCAGAGGCTGAGTAGAAATGGACGTACGCCGCCCTCCTCAGTCGAGAGAAGCCAACAGTAGTGACGTTATCACAGCCTCGCAGCGCCGCTGACGTGTGCGAAATAATGCCGCTAAGCATTCCAAACCGGATGTCGAGAACAGCTAGGGCCCGATCCGAATTGACCTTCTCACGGCAGAGCTCCGGCCTCCGGTGTGACCTTTCTGGACAATAATCCGCTAGGATTGATGTATCGACCACGGCGTTTGTTTTTACAAAGGTCGTCATGTGGGTCAGGATCGTGACATTGTCGCCGGAGTTTAGTTCTCACTGCTAGGCGGTCGGGAGTATAATCTGGCAATACAAACACTGTGATAGGCGGTGATTGAACGACTGCCGTCTCACTTACACACAAATATCGCGAAAGCTTTAGTCACTTTTGGCAAGTTACTCCACACCAAGCTATGGATCAGCTTGGTCAAAATATCGCTCCATAGCTATAGGAGAGAATGGTCGCGCTGGTGCTGGTGGGGAGGGGGTATGGGCATCTGTTGGGTATGGTTATTCGTAGGTAAACAATGTAAAAAACTAAGCACATCGTGTATTTTCACCTCAGTTCTACAGGACTCAGGAGCACACTGACCACTGCAAGTCACACATGAGCATGCCGAATTAAAAGGAATTGTCACATAAAAACTGCAATGATTTAGAATAATTTGACGCCCGTTTAACGTTTTCTGCTAATATTCACTGAACAAAACTCCGGGGCAACTCTAGAAAACATAAAAGCTTACACTTAACAACTGACACAAGAAGGACCTTTTACTTCAAATCACAGAGCATACACAAATATCCGTGCAATTACCTCTGAGAATAGTTTGATGTGACGTGAACAAAAGCCTTTACGCAATAAGTAGGCAATCCACACTAGATAAATATAACGTCTGGTAAATTGTGATGAACAAACGCCACTAGTGTGACATATTTTGATGACTAACAAAGGTGCGGTGATATATAGGTACATAAAACTATACACAAAATCATCCTTATACGGAGAACGAAATAAATAAAGTGCAGCGGTGCCTAATTATGCACTCCACATAACCCCCGCAATCATTATCCACCACACGTATCGTATTTCCTATCTAGACACTCAATCAACTCTCCTATTACCCGCTAGAAAGACCGGTTGAGACGGCGACGACCGTTCCTCCCAACATTCTCCCACATTAGCCACAACTCCTCTGCACGTCACCCCTTCCTCACTGCTCCCCGTTGGCTGGAGGCAGCGAGTGATACTCATGAGGGCCATGGGCGTACGGCTGGGGCGCCAGCGGGCCGGCCGCCGGGGCGCTGCGCCTCTGGCCATAGGCCGCCTCCCCCGCCGCCGCCGCCGGCTGGTAGAGGTCGGCGTTGACCCCGTACAGGGACTCTGAGGCCGCGCAGTTGACGTTGAACCACCAGTCGCAGACGCGGGTGGTCTGGGAGTAGACGGTGCCCACCGGACACAGGAACGACTGCCGGTTCACCCCGAGACCGCAGTAGTGCCACACCTGCGGTGACGAGAGATTACAGATCAGTGAGAGGTTAGAGAGGCCAGAGGGAGAGGTCAGAGGGAGAGGTTAGATGGAGGTCAGAGGAAGGTCAGAAGGCCAGATGATGGTCATATGGAGGTCAGTAGTGATGTAACGTCAGAGGGCAGATCGAGGGGAGCTCATAGAGAGGCTAGAAAGACGAGGTCAAAGAGACGAGATCAGCGCTGAGGTTACATGCAAGTCAAAGGTGAGGTCAAATGCAAGGTCATTAATGAGACCAAAGGCGGGAGCAAAAGTGAGATCGAAGGCGCTCGTGAGATCGTGATCGTGATCGAGGGATACCATGACGACGAGATAAGATCAGAGTCATAAGGGATATTCCGACTGCACTTGGATCGACACTCAGTTACCCCGTTTACATGAGTCAGCGAAAATGACGTTAAGAACGGATATTTCCGTTTAGCGAAAAGTGCGCAAGTTTCGACTCATGTAAACTGGTTTGGGCGCGCAAAAATGACGATTACGCGGAACGGAAATATCCGATGAATTAATGGGAAATATCCGTTTAGGACGTCAGGCCTAAACGGATTTTTTGCGCATCTAGCAGAAAATGACATGAATATGCAAGTTTTATAGATGAATTTTTTTAGTTTACACACCAAAATACATATTTATCTTGAATGGTAGGTCTAATGACAATGAAATCCACTTTTTGCCCCTGATTTCGCGCCATTGTGGCAGATTCATAAAGTACCTACATAAGTGTTGAGAGGAACGTCATATGCTTCAAAAGGGAAGCATTCTAGTTTAGGGATAATTTCCTTATTTCTTAGATTCAACAATCAGGGTTCAATTCCAGGGCAACCAACATAGCCTTCCCAGCCAATCACTCCCTATAGCCACTTGGAACAGCATGCTAGTGCCATTTAGTGCTTGGTACACTGGATATGATGCTTGATTTATTTTGCTTTAGTACATGCTCCCAAAAAATTCTCTACCTAGGTACTTCAAACTTCCTAGCAGTGATTCAGATGACTTATGCTTCAGCTAACAGCCACCAGACGGCAGGGCACGCAGGCTGGCTGGGACAGTAACTTGGCTGCATGCCAAAATATACACAAGACACACAGCCAAATTTACTCAGTGATACTGCCATCTGCCCCCCCCCCCCCCCACCAATATTTAAATGTTCACCTTATTGTTCCAAAGAAGTAGATTCTTCAGTGGTGGGAAGGTCTCTGAAAGTTTGGTTAATCTCGGATGGTGGAAGCAGGCAACTGGCAAGTTTTGTGGAATTTGTAGAATCATACCTAACCTTACCTACCAACCTAACTTTCAACCTACCATCCTACAAACACACCTACATGCCTACAACCTATTATACCAAACTGCTTCCTACCACTCTACAAGGTCAACCAGCCTACCAAACCACATAAGGTACCACTCGGACTTCATCTTCACATCTTACCTGGTGTGATTGAGAGTGGATTATTCTATGCATTTTGAAAATTGCACTGATAGTGTCTTAAAGTTTGGTGGTGAGTAGATGTAATTTCTGTTATGACTAAAACACATGGAAATGATGGATACTGTGTTGCACCCGGCGACAGTCAAGCAATGCACCCACAGGTCACATCTACTTCACAATTTACCTAGCACTGATCTGACCCCTGTCTTTGAAGAACTGAGCAGCTAAAAGCAAAAAATGAAAACAAAATGCTGGAATATTCAAGTGCTTCAAATGTGTCAACCAAAAATGTATACACAATCCCGCACCACCCACTTTCATACCAATGTTTTCTGAGGTGTGGCACCATCCTGCACATCCTTTCATGCATTTTCATTTTGTCAACTTACTGGAGGTACAGCATGATGAGCTATGACTATTATGAGCTGTCTTAGCCTTTTTCTGAAACCAAAAAGACTTTCAATATAGATGTGCTCTTCAATGTTGTCCAAGACCTCAATTGTTTACTTGCTTTCAGACAATTAATCACACTTCTTTTACAGCACACAAGTAAAATAATGGCTTGTGCCATGATTATTTCCAATTCTACATACAAAACTTCTAAGAATCAAGTAAATTAAGCCTAAAACAAGCACAAATAATGCTTGATAGGAGCTGCGCCAGACATGTAAAAATGCGCAAAATATCCGTATTTTTCGGGCTGCCGGCGTAAAGGGAATTATCCGTTCCGGAACGGATTTTTCCGATAAGGCTCATGTAAACGGGGCCACCGAAACGCATTTTTCCGTTCCCTGGCTAATCGGATATTTCCGTTTAGGCTGAATGACTCATGTAAACGGGGTAAGTGTTGTTTACCTGACAGGAGGCCTCTTGGTCAGCGTAATAGCCGGGTAGTTTATTTTCACAGGTGAAGCTGGTCTCGGGGACCTCAGACAACGTGGGGTAATCCACGTTGGCCACGCCTGAAACAAAGCCGAGACACGCGTATCGTCACTGATCTTGCATCGAGTTACACTTCATTGCATCGGTAGGGGACGAGGGTATCGTTGTGCACAACACTAGCTAGTCAGGCAACCGGAAGGCATGTGGGGGCATTATGGCTATGAAACATTGGTAACTTGGCTTCACAAAGCTGCACTGCAACTCAGAGACGACAGAATCACTTGGGGTGAGAACGATACCCAAGCACAGAAAACCGGGCATGCGTTCATCTGATTTCTGAAGAGAGCATATGACAGTGTCACGGCGACTAACTGACCTGGAATGCTGCTGCTGTCGTCCTCGTCTTCACTGGTCTCGTAAGTCGGCTGGTACTGCGGCCTGGGGTACTGTGGCCGGCTGGGGACGGGTGCAGTGGGGTAGCTGGGGACGACCGGCGTCTCCGGTCTCCTCTCGACGTACTCCGGGGCGGCGGGCACCTCGGTGGGAGCGGGGGGACCGGTGGGAGCGAGCGACGTAGGATGGACGGCGGTGGTTGAGGCTGCTTCCGTGGAGTATTTGACCTCGGGAGAGGCGGTCACCTGACTGGTAGCGGTCACTGGGGCCTGGGTGGGGGCTGGGGCGGCCTCGGTTACCTCTGGTTCAGGCTCCGGAGCAGCAGTGGTCACTGAAGGGATCGGAGTGGTCGAAGGTGACGGCCGTTTGCCTGAGGCGTAGTAGGTTTTGGGCTTGGAGTGCCCGCGGGGTGGGTGCGGGGCGGGACGGTGCTGGTAGCTGGATACGGGACTCCGGTAGCCGTACGGGGGCTGGTGGGGATGGGCGGGACGCGGCGGGGGACGATACACCGGTCGGGCGGACGGGGGCGGCCGGTAGAGCGGCGGACGAGGTGCTGATGACGTCTTCGGAGCGTGCTCCGATTCCGACTCCGACTCGGCCGACGTTGATTTGGACTCAGTCGTCGGAGGAGCCTCTGCGACGGCGGCTGCCGGTCCGGCGGCGCTGCTCAGCGTCCCTGCTACATGAGGCGCCGTCGAGAAATACACGGAGCTCTCCGTGCTGGTCTCAGTGGCGGACTCCGGCTGAGCAGTCGAAATGACCGCCTGGGTCGTCTCAGGTGGCGCCACCGTCTCGGGTTCGGTGTGAGCAGATGGCGCTGCTGTAGTGGTTGCTGCAGCCGGGTGTGGTGAAGCCCGGTGGGGCGGCGGCGGCGGGTGAGGGTACGGGTGACCGTACGGACGGATATGGGGAGCGGGGCCGTACGGGCGCGGACCGTACCTGCCGTGGGGGCCCGGAGGAGGGTAGCGCAAGTACGGTGGTCCAGGGGGTAGCTGGGCGCGGTGGAGAGGCCGCGGTGGGCCGTGGGGGTGACCCGGGGGCTTCACTGCCGTCACCAGCTGCAACCCTGTGGGCAGAGAGAAGGACCCCGTGTGAGCGTCATAGCGAACGTTAATCCGTTTTCCGTATCGCAGGATCAGCCCATCAGCATTCTCGAATCCTATTCTGACCTGACTAATGGCCGGTCACGTACGTGCTTACGTACCGTAACAGACAGGCAGAGGAGCGCAACTCCGAAGGAAGAACAAAAGGTAAGCTACCGTGGTCTATTGGGACATTTTGTCCCAACACGTCGCTATGGGATGGGCTCAGCTGCTGCGAAGCACCTGTCGAAGGTTGACTTAGCCCAATATTTTCCTCTTTTCCTCTCATCCCATCGCAGACCGAATGATATTGACTCAGATAAGATCAAAAGAAAGCATATCCACAGTGTTATCTAATAATCGTAACAGAACTCTCTCCATGCCCCCCCCCCCCACACGGACATATACTCCCTCTCTCTCTCTCTCTCTCTCTCTCTCTCTCTCTCTCTCTCTCTCTCTCTCTCTCTCTCTCTCTCTCTCTCCCTTCTCTCCCCTCTTCCGCACCTGCCGGCGGTGGTGACGCGATCACCGGTCAGTTTCCCCGTCTACGGTCCATCACCCTGATTGCCGCCGCCGCCGCGCCGAGACCATCTGCCGGGCGTCACAGCTCGTCGCCCCATGACGCACCCACCGCGCCGCTTTCGCCGCGGCTGCGCACCGAGTTATGTCAGCGGTGGCCGGCCCGCCACGCGCGGATCGCGCCAGAAATTGGCGGCGATTGCGCGGGCTGATGGCACCGCGTGCTACACTTACGCCGGGTGGCTGTCGCCGGCGGGCGGGAGAGGCGATATATGACAGATCCAGACGGGGGGGGGGGGGGCACAGATGACTGAGCTCGACGGTTTTCGATGAACAACTTCCGGCGATAGCCCGGATAGCCGTGAGTTTGTCCGGATGAACGCGGCAAAATGGTGGGTTTTGCTGTACTGAGGACAGAAAATATCGTTCAAATTATCGATCACGAGCTTTGTAGTGTCATATTTACCGATACTTCATTATACTTCAGAAAGTAAGGAACCACATTTGTTCAAAGGCCAACGAATAATTGCTGCCGGTCAGTTTACCGGACACAGTCATACAAGTATGAGTGGGCTGGATGGCATGGCGACGCGTGCCAGCTTCATTTGTTTTTATTTTTATTTGTTTTAGTTCTTTAGTTTGAAGGACTGCATTTCAATTTGGCTATGGGCCATATCAGATGAAAAAGCTTTGTTGAAACTGACTCACATCGCTCTAATTTTATTCGTAGGTAGGCTCGAATGATTAATGTGGGACCTATAGGCGGCGGAACGGGGAGGGCACCGGGGCACCCTGTCCGTGCCCCCCTTTGATTTTGGCATTTTAACATTAGCCCTATGGGCGTTGCATGGAAAGAATGGGACCAAAAGTCGGCAGTGCCCCCCCCCTGACTTGAAGGTGTTCCGCCGCTATACCGTGTGGGACCCACTGTCCAGGAGGTTAATTTGCATTTCGTAAGGCATGTATAGTTATGCTTGAAGTTACAATGAGCATCTTATTGGTTGATATCGCCCTAAAAAGCACCCCCCCCCCCCCACACACACACCTGACTTTCATTGCATCACATCTAAAAGTCCCCGACTGTCCGGCCACTCGTGGTCATAACACAGATATCGCCGTAACGCTTACACCCACCTGGTCAATTATCAACAATCTACTCAGTCGTAGGTATAAATGTGTCCCACAGCGATGAATGTCCAACAGGAGCCATTGCGTGACCAACTCACGAAGCGGGCATTCCGAGCCCATAGTTCACGTGCAGGCAATTTGGACATGACACAATTGGCAGCAGTGTTACTTCACCGTTGGCAGGTGGGGATGGAACAGCTTCACATCGCTGACACAGAGACACAATGACACAATAACGAAGGTCACGGCCGTGACTGAAGCTGACCGTGGTCACGGCTGGTGAGCCGGCTAACCACGCACACGATAATCACAGGTAGGCAATTACCCACAGATTATTCACCGATAGAGCGGGGAGCATCGGCTCAGCACACACGGCATTGATATATTAGGACTGAGTCGGCGGTGATTATTGTGATGGGCAGACATGGGCACATGTCAAATTGGAGGTGTGACTGAAAAAGGACAATAACTGACGCATCGACGTTCATATCGATCTTTTGAGTGAGGATCAAAGTGACTGTAAGTTTGTTATTGATTCTTTTGGAGCAGCCAATGAGCATGGTCTGACGGGAAAAATTGGCATATATGCCTATGAGTGATCGATAAACGTTAGGTAGGTGTCTTCGAACTTGAGAAAACATGGCATGAAAAGCAAGCGAAGGTAATAAAAAAAACATGGTTTTTATTACCTTCGTTCGTATTGGGTATACCCATTACGCCGGCCGGGCAAATAGGTTGCCTGCGATATCACTTATCAGTAGTTGAAACGAGGACGGCTATATTAATTTCTTACAGTATAGGCTGTGATGGTGAAAAGTTTTCACATGCATGGCCAGGTTTAATGGAATGGGCCTCATACGGCCTACATGACTTGACAATTGACATTGACCTGTCAAGTGTCATTCATCATGCATAATTACGGCGCTCGGCAGTTATTGAACGATTTTTATTGTACGCAAAAACCGGAATATATGTGATAGAACACACACTGATGAGCTACTCTAGCAAGTTTTAGCCCAATATCTTAAAAAATAGCCAAGTTATTTCCAATATTGTCACAATTTTGCAATTATATATTTAAAAAACATTTTTCAGTACGTTTTTGACATCTACAGCAAAATAAATGGCACCATCATGTTCCTGAGCTCAAATTGCATCTGATCGGCACCTTTTTTTGTTGAAAAATCTCATTTTCAAAATTTGGCCTTTTCTGACCTGAAGTGACCTGACCTCCGGTAAATTGAGCTGAAAATCACCTCAAATGACACAGACGACACTTTCCGAAATCTAAGAGTAAAATTGACCATAAAACATGCGTCACGTGACCGATACATGATGTACAATTTTCGTGACCTAGGATGGCCTGGCCTTGACCTGAAAAAATTCGAAGTTAAAGTTTGGTACCCTCAGGGCATCTAAGGGATATATCAAGGAGTGCGCAAACAAAAAATGAGCGTGATCGGACTTGTCAGCCGGCGGCCAAAGCCTAGTTTGTTAACAAGCAAAAATGTTGATAATTTTTTCTTTGACCTGGCCTGTGACGTCATCGGTGACCTCGAGGTGAATGAAAATAGGTTTCGCGCGACAGTTTTTCCAGGGCTATCAGACGCCGTTTGAATTTTGACGATCGGCCCAGTAGTATTGGAGATAGGAGGGGGGCTCTGGAGAGCCCCCTCAGTCACTCGTGTTATGGAAAACAGTCATTCAATATCACCCCAGTCATGCGCGGGCTAAAAAAAAACGAAGCCGCTCGATTTTAGACAGAGCAATCGGACAAACATTAACCCTTGCCGGCACAGGGGGGTGATGCAACCCCCCCTAAGGTTTTTCGCGAATAACTCGCGTAAAAAGCGGCTGATCGCGACGAAACTTTCAGTACCCTCGCATTGATCAATTTTACACGTTCCCTGAAAATTTCATGACCCTGACCCCAATGACCTTTGACCTGTGACCTCTTTTCCGTGACCATGTTTGGCCGAAATCGCGATTCGGCGTATGTCGGCTCGCATTAGCCGCGCGTTTGCAAGCTTTTCGTGGTTTCAAACGTTCAAACATGTGATTTAATGTTGCTCCCATACATTAGGGTGGGTGTCAAGGTCACCTGAAGGTCAGGTCAGGTCATTGACCTTTGGTGACCTCGGGTGACCTCGGTTCACTTTTTCGGGTTTTACATGTTCCTAGGCTAGTTTTTGGAGCTGAATTCGAATTTAGCAACCATTTGAACATTTACGAAGTAGTTTTGGTGCCTTCGTAACATGTTACGAAGATGTCAGAGGCGGTTGACACGTATTACGAATACCCGTCACAACCCCTCCCGGTTGACCTGACCTTACCTGACCCGACCTGGTCTAAATGCTTAAAAACATCATCTCTGATCAAAACGAACACGATATTCGTGATCAGCACCCCAGAAAACCATATAGCAGCCACACTTTACGACTTTCTAACAGGTCCCGATTTTCCCGGTTTTCGGGTCATTGACCTGACCTGGAAGGTCACCCGATGACCTAGGACCTTAAAATTGGGTATCATCGGCTTCCTCTCGTGACGGGCAACACGCTCGTTTTTTCCGCGAAGCTCTAGCTCGATCAGGGGCCAAACGCGACGGGGGGGGGTCGTACCCCCCCCCCTTGTGCCGTCGAAGGACGCAAAATGGCCTGTGCCGGCGAGGGTTAAGCGCATTCCTATGAAAAGGTCCAGCGCATCAGCTGTGGAGACGGCTGGCGCTGCGGTCATGAGTTGTGCTACCGACCGTGGCCCGGAGACAGATCGGAGGCACCTCGCTCGCGCATTGCGTAAGGCGTGGGAACCGCTACGTCCAACTACCGCCGAAGAGGCGGGTACCGGGGCGGGGGAGGGGGCGGGAGTGGGAGTCCGGCCGGAACGGAACGCACCGCGACGAATACGTGATTCTCGTCTAATTTAATGATAAACAGGGACGAAGCATAGAGGCGTGAGTGTTGTCGCCGTTTGTTGTTGTGCAAGGAGAGAAAGGGAAATGACTTCTACGTACAGACAGACATTGCTGTGATAAGCATAAAGGGTGAGAAACACTCTAATAGAGCTGTGAGTCTGTCGCTGATCGGTGGAAAGCTCAGATTGCCCATTACACCACACAATCTATATTGGGGACGGTACTGTGTAGTCTGACATTTTACCATTATATGCCGAAGTATGCCTCTAGCGTTAGCCGAGCTAGCAGCGATTCACCTGAGCCCATGGGCCAGTAGCGCATCGCAAGTAAATGATATAAACATCCGTGCTTTTACGGGATGGGAATCTGTCCCCCTACAAAGAGCAAGGCGACATAGATACATGAAACGGATCAAATTATATACCGGCTACTAGTAAGATGTTGGCAATGGTGACAAACAAAACAGTGAGATTAATATCCTAAATAGGCATACGCCACTTGCAGTGGTCATGTCGTCTTACGTTTCAATAATAGCCTTTCAACCATCAGGTTTACTTAGCACCCACTCGTATGCTTAAAATTTGTGGAGTGACAGACGGAAACTGCGCTTACATTATCAAAATTCATTGAACTAATGACTATAAACGGTCTCCATTATTTCGGAACCTGTCCACTTGCCATCAGTTTTAAATAATGAAACTCATCTTCTTTAGTGTCATTGCTGTTATAAGTGCATGTAGCCAATAGCACCACCTCTATGTGCTATAACTTAGGTAAGTGTTACGAGACGCATGCGAGACGAGCAGAGACGAATGCGAGATGCCTGAGATGCAAGCGAGCGAGAGTACTCGCATATGATTCGAGGATGTTCACCTACGATTATTTTTTTTTTAAATTATGCATAAACATTTTTCTAATTGCACGCATATGATTGCTACGATGCGATTTCCAAACTAAGAAGTGTTACAATCGTCTTCAAAATATTTGGTGGATGAGCGCTTGTTTAGTGTAGTTAATGAGCCTGGTTATTCGATGTGGAAATCTCAATGCACATTTGCATGAAGTCACAATTCATGATTCACAATTAAAGACAGGGTAATGGTATGCTCCCGACTATTACTTTGAAGCCGTTTTCGTAGTTACAATAACAGTTTCGATATACATAAGTCGTATACTCGTCGTATACCTATTACTCATACTCGTAGGCAGCACGATTGCTCGAGCCAGTACTCACCAGCCAATATCACGAGAGCCGCCGTCAGCCTCATGATGAACGTGGAGAGACCTGTCGGTGCTGTCTGCTCCGGAGCCCGTCACCAACTGACTGTGTCTCGCCGGACGGCTCCGTCCAGGACAGCACTCACTGCGGACCCTCTCTCCGCGGCCGTGAGCGGTGCCCGGGGGCACAGAAGGACCCTCCACCCCCCCCCCCCCCCCGTGCCGCCCATCAGCCGTCAGTGGCACCGGCTGTGGGGAAAGCGCCATCGATGGCAGGATGGTAGTGAAGTCTGCGAACCACTGCGGCTGTGTTATCAGTTCAAAATTCGTCCCTGCAGGCTGCAGATCATAAGAACCGGAGACAAATGGCCAAACGGGCAAGTTGGGTTAGGCACCTGTAAATCACATGTCAAAGTGTTTAGCTTTTGAGTTCGTGGTGCAATATTCACAAAACCTCTAAATCTACTTCTGAGACGCGTCGCGAGAAGCGGTAAGCGGCATAAAAAAACAAACAATAATCATTTAGAACATCGGTCATTATATCAGGTCACCAAAGCTTAGAAGTATCGATTGATTGAAATCATTTCTATCAATTGATACTTATGGACAAACGGCTCATATTTGTCAACTAATAGAGCAGGAATAAGGCAGAAAACACCGCTGGAATTGGATGTACAAGCATACGTATAGCAGAAAACACTTTTTATCACCTTTGATACAAAACATCTGTGCGACGTAATGATAATACGAAATGTATAAGGTAGGTGTGATATACGAGTATTCCGTCACCTTTATCCATCGCTAAAAGTTTCAAAACATTTATATCAGCCAGCGTAGTTTCGCAAAAGCTTATTTTGTGGTGAGGCAACAGCAAGGGGAAGTAAATTGCAACAACGGCGCTAATAACAAGGCCGTATTTGTTCGATTGCTTACCTACAACCCGCATTTCATGTTGTAAGTTGTAGCAATGTAGCACCCCTTTGGTGTGGTGATCACAGGACGACAAAACAAATAAGCTAAGGAAGTAAATTTGTTTCCCGACTCATGTTCATTCACTGACCAGAACCAACCCCGAATAACAGATGAATATAAAAATATAGCCTGTGATGAGTAAAAACTAAAAAATCATATTGAAGGAATATCCGTAAACGTTTTCTTTCCTCTAGAATTCCTTTTTGTGTTTCGTTTAGCTGTGCTGAGTTCAGAGTTACAGAGAAAAATGTACTTAAGTGTACATATGCATCTAAAGGTCACAGATCAGCTGACAGCCCGCTTGCAATCGATATACTCACTCATGGCCACTGATAGGAATCGTGATAGTTCAAAATCAGCATAAAGATAATGAACCAAAGCATACCAATAACAAAACAAAGTCATCAATTATTTCTGTGCATAACACAGACAAAAACTGTTTCAGTGAGTCACTTCAAGTGATTTCGTAATCGTCAGAGCACGGGCCATTAATCACACAAGCCGCAGCCCATAACGACAACCCTCCAGCCTGGCCCGCGGTTCCGCCATCTGCTGGTATACTCCAGACGGCTGTGGTCCAACTGCTCACCTGAGGACTGACGGTGAGAGCTGCCCCGCGTCCCGCCGGACGCTCCGCCGGTACACGCCATTACCCCCCCCCCCTCCCCGGCGTTCGGGACCACCAACCACTCTTCTGCGGGGGGGGGGGGGTCTAACCTAACCGCGGGCCACGGACGCACTCTGCGGAACCCAGTCGAGGTGAATCCCGCACCGCACCGATTACTGATGACGATGATGCTGCATTGTTGTGGTCCGGTTGTGAGGTCTGGGTCAAAAGGAGCGAGGCGACGGATTGTTAATTCGTCGGCCGTCGCCTTGCTCGATTTGATTCGGGAACACCAGTGATGGTTCATTGGTTTTATGGATTGACAACCGCCAGGAGCTGGTGTGTGAGCCTAAGGGGGGGGGGGCAATTTGGCCCCCCCCCTGTGGTTTTTCCTAAATAGCAAGCGCCGCCAAATTTTCAGTACCTTCCCGGGCATCAATTTGACACCTTCACACCAAATTTCAAGTCTTAGATCACCTTAGGACAGGAGTTATTGAGGCCAAACTGAGGTCATGTTCGAGCAAAAATGAGCAAAAAAGTAAAAATATGAAATCTTGAAACGCTCACAAAAGCTACAGTTACCAAGCAATTTCAAAGTTCTTTGCATGGTCATTTGGATAAAAAGCGGCGCTACAAAACTGCTATCTCGTTTGTTTTTAACGTTTTGGGATTTCGACCCCAAAAAGTAAAAAAAGAATGATTTTTTTAGAAAAACGCAAAAAATCCCAGTTTTTTTTCTCAAATTTCGGAAAAACCGGGACACATGTGAGAGTTTCTGCGCTCTTCTATATACATACCGAATTTTAGATCGATACATCCTTTTTGGCCAAGTTATAGCGAAAAACTGTTCAAAATTGTTGACGTCAAATTTTTTAACTCATTTTTTTTTTTTAGCAATTCTAGACCACGTAGCGCAAAACAAGGACCACCATTGAACTTCCCGTGACGAGTTGCACCGAATCGATACCCATTTTATGCAAAAATATCAACTTTGAAATTTGACCTAATTTCACCTGACCTTGACCTGACCTTCACCAGAGCATAATATAAACTGACTCCAAGGGCTGTTTGACCCACATAATCGCATTTGGCATATAAAATGGACCATAAAACATACATCACATGATATTCATGTATATTGTGACCCTCAGTGACCTGACCTCTGTGACCTGACCTGGTATCAGTGACCTCAAATAGCAAAATATGTGTTTGACGAACATTTCCCAATCGATGATTTTCAACGAAATGCATTTTACTCGAGTTTACAACGCATTTCTTGAGATGCTTGTAAACGGTAAAATTCGACATTTGACCTGACCTGTGACGTCATCGGTTTGACCTAGGTCGTGACTGTCGTGATAATCTTTGCGTTTTGCAATGTAATGACTTAACCCTATTCCGGGCGGACTCTGAAAGGTTCGATTCTGGGCGGGGGGGGGGGCCTTTTCGGCCCCTTCTTCAGATCTCAAAAACTACACATCGCAGCGACAAACGACAAACGTTGTGTGATAGGTCGCTTAAAGATCTACAACTTTTATAAAACATTTTCAGGTCAGGTCAATATTGGGGTCACCAGAGGTCATCAACGATAAAATGTTTTGGAATTAGTTGTCTTTATAACTTTTAAACTAAGAAACATGGAGACATAAAATTAATACATTTTTTGTTGCTCTCGTCGAGGCGACGCGAAATAAGTATGCGATGACCGTCACAGGTCAATTTGAAATTTGACCCGAGGTCAAGGTCAGGTCATTCATCAATGAGGTTGTGGGGTATGGTCATGCTGCATACCAAACGAAGCGCCTTGACCAGGCGAGCAGTTTGGTACCTACCACTTACAAGTCTTTAGCACCATCGTTCGTGATTTATTGACAGAAAAACGATTCATGACGTCACATGACCTCAGATGACCTTTGCCAGTGCCCCTGTCAATTAGCGGCACCAGGATCATCACCGATGAGATAATCTTCCATAATACTGAAAGAATTGGGGGGGGGGGGGTTGACTCGTTTACACGAAGCAGGAGGCGTTTCAATATTTTCCCACAGGCTTGCAATGTAAAGGTCACGAGTCTGCTCTGGCCTCACCTCAGGTCACAGATGTAAAAATTCTGAGATATACAAATTGCACATACTGGTACCCTAACTAGGGTAACTGTGGGGAAAACGCACCCCTGGGTTAAACGCCTCCCCTAAAAAAATCGTAGATCTTATCGGCGGATAGGTGTTTTATCCTGTCTTTCAGAACAGTCAGCTGCTTGTTTACGTAGTTCTCTATTTCCGGTTCTGCGTCTTGGGGAGCAGCGTGGGTAGGTGCTGATGTTGGTTTTGGGTGTTGTTTTTGTTGTTTTTACAGAAGATTCCTAAGCTTTTGATGCCCTCTTTATTTCACAAAACTTGCTATTGTGCACATCACTCAAAACTGCGTTTTATTGTCATTCTGTTGAATTTATTATGCTGTGGCGTTAGTGGCGCGTTTTTTGTCAATATTTTGTTGACCGGAAATGGAGTGGATGGGGAAAGACGCCTACTCGATGCATGGGGCAAGACGCCCCCAGTTTTCTGAAAGGGGGGCGTTTTGCACGGTGGTGAGAGTGCAGGGCAGCGCCCTGTAGGTCGGGGCCGAAAAGGCCTCTCCCTGTCCTTTTTTGCTGATACATCCTAAACGACTGCAGATATCGTCACCAAACTTTCAGGACTCCTCCGGGCATCCATTTTACACATTGCAACAACATTTTATTCCAAAGGCTATGATAGGTTGACCACAAATGACGTCAGAATGACGTCAAGTTGTGCCATGTTCATCATTTTCTCTGTTGATGGATGGGGTGGGGGCGCTTTGCACATGGGTGTGGGCGTATTACCCAGGGTGTGGGGCAAAACGCCCTTTTGTAAGGGTATGCGGAAACCTTTTTTGGGGGTTAAATACCACACGCAAGTGTCTTTTCTTGGTCTCAAAGCGTAGTAAAAAGAATGAGCTACATGATGGTGCCCAAAGGTTTGAGTAATCTGGGTTAGGTTGAGTGTCAGAAGGTTTCGCGCTTACTGGGGGCGTTTTTGACCTATTCACCCTAAAACCTGAAGAGAAGAAATTGATCCGTCAAAAAAGCTCTGGCGTGATTGCAAACTTTTCTGAGGTGGGGGTCACCAAACCGCCTCTGGTGACCTGACCTGACCTGACCCGGCAACTTTTTTTTTTGTCAAAATGTGCTTAATGAATGTTCAGGAAAAGTCACCGAGTATGAGCTTTCAGTCTTGCGGCGTTTGGCAATGGCACAAGAAAAACCTGAAGGGTGGGGGGGGCCTTTAACCCTCGCCCTGGCAGGGCATTTTTCATAACACGGCCTGGCAGGGGGGGGGTCGATGCGACCCCCCCTCGCGATTGGTTCCTATGGCATCTAGAAACACCAAATTTGGTAGGTAGGTGGGCCCCCTGGAGTTCTCGCCGCTGTGCAAATTTGGTTGCTCTAGGTCAATATTTAGGGTTTTTTTTTTGGGGGGGGGGTATAAATGTAAAAAATTTCGCTAAAAACAGGTCAAAAGTTTTTCGCTTATA